GAGCTTGAGGTCACCTTTTCTTGTGTGTGTCTGGCAGAAGACTTCTTAGGCACGTCTCATTCACTTGACACCTTTGTATATGACTTGGTTTATCTGGACAGGTAAGTTTAGAGTCCCCAACTTCTGCCGATCAACAAGATTGACTACTGGCCTGTAACATCTGCTCCCCTTACTACTACTTCTCTTCTTCTTCCTTCATGTAATTCGGTAAGTGTTTCAATGCATGCTTAAACTTGTTCACCATTTTTTGTCCCTGTTTCAGACAGAGTGATCAAAAAATAAACTATTGTTTAATTAGAGACTAAAAAGGTTAATTTTTCTGAAAATAACTTTGTGTCTTGCTTTATTTTAATAAATGATTTAGCAGGTGTTTTTTTTTTTTTTTTTTTTTTAAGGCACAGATATATTTTTAGTTAACTGTCTATCTTTCCAATCCTTCATGTTGGAAATTTGACCAATCAGATTTTGGAAAAAAACTAAATGGATTCAGGACTTGAACTGTTCACCAAATCACCTCTTATCCTTTTTTTTTTTCATTTAGTCTATAATCTAATTAATATATATATATATATATATATATATATATATATATATATATATATATGTATGTATATATATATATATATATATATATATATATATATATATATATATATATATAAAGCACACATATGCACTCCACTAATTTCTTTTTTTTTTCTCTTTAATTAATTTGTTTTGTCTGCTTTATTTTAATCATTTTCTGCTTAAATTACCAGAACTTTTGAGTTGTAGAATTAATGCAGATCTTCTGGATTTATCATTAATTCATGATTGCTGCTTAGTTTTCTTCTTTCAAAGTTTTACTGGTCTCATTCAACAAGTCTGTTTTCTAGGTAAATTGAATAATTAACACTTTCATTGCTGCAGTGTTAGAACATTGTTGCCTGCTTGTGCTGGTCTGTTTCGGGAAAAAGAAGAAATTTCCATTTACTGCGTAAATGACTATAGAGACACTAACAGTGTTTCCTCATGGGTGCCACCATTTTGGTTTCAGTTGGATATTTTGTAGTAGATACTACAATAAACAACACTTCCAACACCCAATATAATAAAAAATAAGTCACCAGGTTTTATTGTATGCTTCTATTTGTTTATATTGGTTTCAAACATGACCCAGATCTCAAGTGGAACTCGTACATACAAACCATCACTAAAAATGCAGATCTGTTCCCTGTACAGCTCCAGTAAGTACCTGACTCCTTGTGCTATCCTCTATCTTTCCAAGAGTCACATCAGGCCTAAAATGGAGCACTAATGTCATATTTGGGCAGGAACTGCCCAGTCCTTGCTCTCCAGTCTCAATATAGTTCAAAAGTGTCTCCATGTCCTTGTGGGTAGTAAATTATTTTCCAATTTGCAGCCGATCTCTCACAGACAGGAAGGTGGTCAGACAAACTATATTCCTTAGTTCCACCAGTTCTAACCTTCATGGCTACAACCCACCATCCTATGCACATTGTAGCAAACCACCATCATTCCATTTATATTCCATTCATGAGATGTAAGTTCTACTCAAGCAGTTTTTTCCCATGAACCACTGCTCTGTGAAACTGACTCCCAAGATCACTACAATTTTAACCTGTTCAAGTCTAGGGTTAACTATTATCTTCCCCACCTATCCACATAAGCTGTGCCCCTTAATCTATAACCCTCTACCTCAAGTGGCTCCAGGGCCTTGTTCAAGGTGAACCTCACTATAAAAAACAAAAATGTTTATAACACAAACACTAAGGACCATCATTTCATGCCATCTTGAAATTGTATATAGACATCAACAAAAGAGAACATAAATTTCACTACAATATATAAATGTATCTACAGCAGCAAAAGTGTTAATTATAAAACTTTGGTTAATTATAAAATATTAAAATTTAATTATGATTAATTATAAAACTTTGGATTAATTAATTATAATTTAGTGGCTTTATTGCCTTGCTCATGAGTGAAATGATTAAAAATAAAATTATGAAATATTAGAATTTATTTCATATTTTTCTTAAATAAGGATTAAGTTAGCTAATTAGCTAAACATCATTTCTTTTGTATTAATTCCTTATATATAAAGCTTGGATGGATATAAGAGTTGTTTTATGTGCTTAAAATTTTAATTTCTCAGTTTTATATCAACTGTCTGTCATTATCTGACAAGATTTCTCAGTTTCATATCAACTGCCTGTCGTTATCTGACAAGATTTCTCAGTTTCATATCAACTGCCTGTCGTTATCTGACAAATGTAAAGAATATAAAGAAATAAGGAAATAAGATTTAAGGAGGAAGACATTCCTGGAAATTATGAAAATGGACAAAATATTTGTCTTAATGGTAAGAGTAGCAGTTTCCAAACATTTGCCATTTATTGACTGAACTGTTAGCATTACTGTTGGTTGAAATTTATAACATCTTTTTCTTAAAACAGGTTTTCAAGAAATTAGACTTTTCAAGTCCACTGTTATCACTCTTTCAAGTATTGATGGGAGTTTCCTTCCTAATCTTTAGTCTAAGCTAGTGTAGAAAATCAACATCTTGATTATATCATTATTTTCATTTCTAGTCACTAATTTTAGTTGTTACTGTTGTTGGAAGTCTTCAAGTGATGTGGTTTTTGCTATTTGGTAAAGATCTTTGTGATTTTGTAACACCAATCTGTAGGATATGATGGATATCAGATGACAGTGGACTTGAAGAGGTTAGATTGTAGTGATCAGAGAAGCTTCTACTCAAGAGTAAGTTCTGGGGAAGAAGCTGCCTGAGTGGAACTAACTTCTTACCAAAGAAACACAAAGTGAATGGAGATGATTTGTCACATGGCATGGCAGATCCTAGCTGTAAAAGTTCTGTATTGGTATGACTAAGGAATGTAACTCATTTAAACATTTGCCATAGGACAAAATAGAGTAGTGAGAGGCCATTTTTAATAATTGACATGAAAAATAACAGTTGTATGTAGTTGACAGTATAGACATTTCTGAATGAGTTGGATACTGTGCATGACACCCATATAAAATGCTATTTAAGAACATGACTGACGTTGCATTTGATTAATAATAGCTGTGAGAGTTACGTATTTCCAACCAGCTGTGATATTTGGGGTTTCCAACCAAATAAAATCAAGATTTTGAATACTGATTTTAAAGGACTGAAAGCCTTTTCCACTTGAATAATTAGTGAAACAAATCTACTTTATTATATAATTTGATTTGCTCCAGATTGAACTAAGCTCAGTGAATATTTCAGTGTAATGGAGGTCATGAAAATGCATTTTATTCTATTGCTTTGTTTTGATAAACACATTTTTTTGGTGTTGCTTTTTTTATGTCATGTCTCTTCTAAATATAATTGAACATGGCTCTTCTCTGATTTTGTTTTTCTAGTATTTGTAAATGGCCATGATTTCTCGATTGGACTGGTTTCCTATAACCTTCTCCATGATTTGTAATTCAGATTAGTCCTTCTAGACTGCCTGTCACCTAAAACTAGAGAACCCATCCTATGCTGCTATTTAACCCATAGCTTGGGGAAGAAGAAATGGATCAATGCCTTTGCCACGGGCATTAGTGCGAAAGTGAATGCAAGAGACTAGGCAGGATTTGAACTCCGTTTGCCATACCATAGCACTGATTATTATTACATTACCGGCATTTTCATCGCTTTTAAAATTCTCTACTCAAATTTTACTTATTTTGTTTAAAATTAGATTTTTATCTACATTACTTTTAAATATCATTTTCGAATTCTGAGTTCATTCTCCCCATAAAGATAACTAATCAGTTTGAGAATAGATTAATAAGTATTTGTATTTTGTTTGTTTAATTGTTTATTTAGGGATTTCATAAATCTTTTACAGATTTTGTTTATTGTTTACTTAAATATAATTTGGAGAAGAATGTTGTGTGTGAGGCTAAAGATGTCCAATTGGGAGAAAGAAAGAAAGGGAAGAGAGAATAAGCAGTGGTGGTAGGAGAAATACAGGAAATGTGTCAAGAAGCCTTTACCAATTTATTAAGAATCATATGATGGAGATTTACTATAAATAAAATGGTTAACAAGTTATCTGCATTTGGTCTTTTAGCCATAGTCAGAGGGTGGTATCAGTTCTCCTCAGTTTAGATGTAAGAATGTACCTGGTCTTAGTGATTCCAAGCCTATGGCAGCACCTTCCGCAATGCATTAAGAGAGGTGAGACCTGTGTTATATTAAGACCAGTGTGACAGTGATTGTGGAGACTGGGCAATTTTTGTCCTTGGCACATATGTGAACATATCGCTCCTCATATAAAAAAAAAAAGACCTTGTGTCACATCTTAATTTTTATTTACTCCCCCCCCCCCCAAGGTCAGGTTGTATGTCACATCTTAATTAGTAGGGAGGTCAGGTAAATAAAATCTTATTTATATCAAATGATATTTCTAAACCAAAAGGACCAATCTAATTGAATCATCTTCCTTAATAAAGAAGAATGTTTGTCATAATGGTAACCCAGCTTATATCTCCATGGCAATTTTAAGCAACTTTTTCCCAAGAGGCAGTTTTTAAGCAACTCATAAAATAAAAAATATATGTCATAAAAAAATTTCAGGGAGCACTTTTTTTTTTTTAATAAACTAATTATACAGCCTACAGGGCATCAAAGGATCCCACATTTTTCAGATTAGATTAATAGGAATAGATAGACAGATTATAGATCATCTAGAAGCAGGATGCATGATAATTTTTAAGCAGATTAAAAAGAAAAAATTGGTGATTTTTATTTGCTTCTTTATTATAAATTGCTTTAGTGTTTTCTTTAAACAAAAATTTGCCAAAAGCTTAAATTTTGTTCATTGAAATGCATAATTCATGATGAATATTCTTGTTTTTATGTTTGTCTTTTATTCTTTTTGAAATCTTTTATTCCATTCCTGATTAAAGACATCAAATGTTTGGTTGTTCCTGACAAGTTTCCTTGTATTCTTGTACAGAATTTATTGAGATCCCTTCTGAAGATTTGGTCCCTGGGGATGTCATAGAAGTCCCTCGGTCAGGATGCATGATGCAGTGTGATGCAGTATTGGTTAGCGGAAATTGCATTGTTAATGAAAGTATGTTGACAGGTAAGTGCATTGATTGTTGTTGTTAGATTGAAGCAGAGAAGATACTAAAATAGAAATCATACTGAAATGAATTAGATTTAACTAAAGATTTAGTTTTTATTTAGTATGAAGTAATAACAAGATTTTTATTTCTTCTTTTGTTCAATCTCTGAAGGAGATGCAGAAGTTTCCACCATTTTTTTAATTCATTGCATCATTATTCAGTCATCAAAGTATTTTTTCCAGAATTTTTATGACCTTATTCCACCATTCAACTAAATTGTGTCTTCCATTATCTGAAAAAATAATTCAGTTTTCCTTCAATAAATTTTTAGAAGAATTTTTCAACATGTTGAATTTATTGGAATAAAAAAAAAAAAAAAAAATGTTGCATGGAATGAGAAACAAATGATTGTCTGAAGGTGATTAATTTAAAGAAAATGTCAGGTGCAGAAGAATTCCCCCTCCAATGCTATGATTGTTTGCTGCATTACATTTGCAGCATAAGGATGCACATATTTTTATACAGCAAAATACACTATAGGCCAAAATTTGGAGGACACCCTCTGGATTTAATAATTAGTTTCATGCCTTCTTTGGTTTAGTTAACTCCTACAAAGCTAGGATGCTGAAACTATTTAACCCATTAGTGCATAGTGTCTAATTTCTGAAGTTATTTGTCAGTTCATCAGCTGTTGACCTGGAGAAATGAAAGACATATTACTTGTCTAAAAAAAAGTCCCTGTGATGTGAGATGCTTAACCAATTCAGCATTGATTAAGGGCCTCTAGAAGCTTCTCCAGTAGGCAGGAAAGCAAGAGGTGTGAGGCACATATACAGTTTAGAGAGAACCAGAACCAGTTTGGGGCACACTTCTTAATGACTATTACAGGGATACAATCAGGTTCATATGCCTTGTGGTGATCCAGGTTAGTGATGATAACAGAAACCATAGAATGAGTTATATGCCTCTCACTCAAATGAAACTCAGTTCTAGGTGGGAAGTTAGGCAAGGATACTCCAGATTAGTCAAGAGTAGTGTTTGAGGATAAATTTATCAAACACTCAAATTGATTGAAGAGAGGAGCAATAAAGAATTTACATTTATTTAATACCCTATTCCAGAGTTGCAAGTAATCACAAGAGCCAAAGTTTTTAGATGCAATATGGTACTTCATTCTCTCAATAAACAGAGATTTAGCTTCTTTGAAAACTCATTTACATTTATTATCAGCAGCAACAAATAGTCATCTATTGTGACTGATGACGTCACGCTGGTATAGTGGCTATAGTGGCAGAGCATGCTGGTGTGAACCATGGAGAAGACTGAGGTTTCACTTGGTATTCCTGAGAAGGAATGAAGGCATCCATACTAGCTTGGATGCATGCAAAAACATCAGTGGTACAATTCTCAATTTGAAGGTTGAAAATATCAGTCCAGAAGTGGCATCTCAAAGAAAATAATGGAGTGAGTCCTAATCAGTATGCTGGTAATGGAATGATGTCTTATGAATAGGAGGTTCCTGATTAACAGATGATTGTTTAGTTCTAAGAACTGAGCTGCTGGACCCTCGTATGTCGGAAAATGATTAGAGAGTCCGCCATGTCGTTATATAATACCAATATATAATATTATGATATAATATCAGTATATTATTATGTAATATCATATAATGTTATTATGTAATATCATTATATAATATTACAGTATTAAATATCATTATATTAGATATAACACCAACAAAAAATTCCACTTTTGGAATGTGGGGAGGTGGCAAAAGATGGTAGTATATATAATGACAGACTGTTGTTTCAAATGATAATATCATACATCTGCTTGGCAGGAGAATATCACTGTCATCAGCAAGGAGATACCATTTTTAAAAACTGAGACACTGCAACTGTTAGGAGTTGTGACTGTGATTGTACCAAATCTTGTTTACAGTCGCTCTCTCACAGACCTGCCGTCACTTTCCTCTGTCTTTTCTACAAATACTTTCACGGTAACTGCTCCAATAAACTACTTTTGCTGGTTCCTAAACATGCTACTAGGTTGGCATTCAGTCACCCCGTTCACTTTCAAAATGATTAAATGTAAATGTCTCTTCTACTGCAATAGCATCATGTCTTGCACTTTCCATCTGTGGAACTCCCTTCCTCTTACTTGCTTCCCTGATAGCTATAATCTCCAAATTTTGAAATGCAATGTCAATTGACATCTTCAGATGCCTTGATCTATTCCCTGTCCTTCTCTTCATCCTTTTCTCTGTCATGCCTCTTTAGTCTTACTCCCATTCTCTGTAACCCCTTGTGTGCTAGTGGCACTCCTGCCTTGCTTGGGGGAAATGCTTTAAAAAGTCACTTTGAATGCATTATATTTATGCAATCCAGAATTTGAGAACAGTTCAAAGAGGAAGAGATTTTATGATATTATTATTATATTATACGATGTACATTATGCAATTTGAACATTTTCTTTATTTCAGGTGAGAGTGTTCCTGTTCTTAAAACGCCTTTGCCAAATCCAATTCGACGTGCTAAGGACAGTCCCGAAGAATTTTTTAAAATTGATGACCACTCACGTCATGTCTTATTTTGTGGAACCAATGTTATCCAAACAAGATATTATGAGAAGCAACGTGTCAGAGCTGTAGTCATACGCACAGGTAAGAATTACAAGTTACTTACAGCACCAACACCATGTGTGACTTAATTATATATTTTGTATTAACTTGATGCGTGATAACTGTTTTCAGAAATGGCAAATGACTTGAATAGCATTTCTCTGCAAGCAGAAAAATATGCTGTATGAAATAATCCATTATTCTTTAATAATACTATCTGTTGCAAAAGAACAGAACAGAACAGATGCAGGATCTCCTAGACAAGGTAGTAAAGGAAAGCAGGAAGAAGGGACTAACCATCAATTGTAAGAAAACAGAGTGTAGGGTTGTCAGATTGAGAAAAAGTGCTAAATATAAGCTATAAATTGGAAAATATCAAAATCAAGAAGTTTAAATATCTGGGAAGTGTTTTAACAGATGATGGAAAATGTGACACAGAAATACAAAAGTTTATTAGAATAGTGAAAGATACCTTTCAAAAGCTAAACAAAATATAAAGAAATAGGAAAATTTCATTAGAAACAAAGAAAAATGTGCTGAACTGCCATGTAATATCAATCCACTGATATGTCAGTGAATGCAGTTTCCTCAAAGGTGAAGAGAAGACTTGAGGCAACAAAGATTTGGTTCTACACAAGTATACTAAGAATATCATGGAGCATGTGAGAAATGAGGAATTTTTAAGGAAAATGAAAATGAAAAGGACACTTGTACTTAGAATTAGGAAGAGATAATTGAAATTATTGGGGCACATCATGAAGAAAGAAGACTTGGATAATTTGACACTCACAGGGCATATTAAAGGGAAAAGGGGAAATTAAAGGGACCTACCTAATGAGCTTATGTAAATTAGTGTCAAGGGGTGGGAAGGATAGCAAAAAAAAAAAAAGCAAACATTGCTCAGAGTGACAAAGGGTAGAAAGTTGTGGAGAGTCATAATTACCTATGTCCTGAAGTGATACAGTACATAAAAGGTGTGTTGCAAACCTACAAAATAGTTTGAATGCTGAATTATGAGTAGCACCAACCATTTTATTGTTACGGTTGACTTTTCTTAGATAACAGAATATTCTAGATGGTTACATTCCATTAATTGTAAATTTTTGCTTCAGCAAATTCTAGAGCCAGATTTTACAAGAATAATAAAATTCAAAATAGAATGTTTAATTATGTAGTTTTTGCCACTTCTTACTGTATGTAAATGGCATAAATTTCTATGATTCCATTTTAGAGTGATTACTTCAAGTTATTATAATTCTATTCATCTAGGCTTTACCACTGCAAAAGGAGATCTGACCCGCTCAATTCTCTATCCCAAGCCTGTTGACTTCAAATTCAGCCATGACACTTACATGTTTATAACAGTTTTGTCAGTTTTTGCTTTAATGGGTTTCACCTACACAGTCATTTTGATGGTAAGTATTATTTATCTGGTATTCTTTTCTTATTTGATGTTCTTTTATTTACATACAATATCTGACTGCTTAGACAGTCGTTCTCCACCTTTTTTGCCCAATACACCCTTTTTACCATAAGTCAGAATATCATTCCACTCCACCTTCCAAAATTGTCTGACTCAAAACGTACATTCCAAATAATTATCAAAAATCTTCATTCTTTTCCATATTAGTAAATATACATTTTTTTTAAATTGGTATGCAAGGCAGTAAAGACACAAAGAATTACAGGTTGTGGAAGAATTAGGAATAGAAACATTAATAATGAGTGGTAAGAGAAAAGAGTAATCAGGAGGATGGTAGATAGTGATTGACATTGCATTTAAATTTTTGCAGATTAAAATTGGCTGGAAAGCATGGGACTGGAAGGTGTGAGAAAAGAAACTGTTAGCATTGAACTTATGGCTACATCTAACCAGCTTATTGTTGAAATCTTGATGCCAGTCTAGTTCTGTGCTTAAATTAAAAAAATCTAGCTACCATAGCAGAGAGTTCATCCAAACAATTACCACAAAAGTATTTATAGAAAAGACACAGAGAGGCAGTGGGAAAGTGACTGAAGCCAAGCCATCAGATCTAATAGCAATAGAAAATGTTGATGGAGTTTTAAATTTGAATTCACGTGCAGTAATTTCTTTTTAATTCATAACTAATTATTAAATAAATAAACTGAAGCATGCTTCAATAAATAAAATAAAATGCCAGGGAATTGTAATTAAATAAATAAAAAATTCTGTAAATAATAAACAAGAAAAAGTGAAAGTTTTTGCCTCATTCCTGAAACTCTAAAATTACACCTTGGTTGAGAATCCCTGGCTTCAAATGTTTTCTTTCTTTTGGCCATGGATGATAGATCTTCATCAGTGGCCTTCAACACATTCTTGAATTTGTACATAAGTCCTGTTTGTGCAAATGATCTCTATCTGAATTGTTGTGTTTGTTAACTAGTGTCACAAGTACAGCATATCTTTTCATTCTTTTTGTTACATTAATGCATTTGATTCATTTATGAGAATCTTAAAATTTGGTATACTTTACGTAATATTAAGTTACCTTCCATTTATGGCCCAGTAAACGTGTGTCTTCAAATATTTGGACAGTTGTGAAGAATTGAAGAATTTTTGTTTGCTTTTTTCTTTTTAATTAGTAAATGAAATAAAAATGAAACTTCTTTTTTTTTTAATCATTTCACCTCAAGCAAGACAATAAAGCCACTAAGACAAAAGGAGTTACTGAATACAAGAAAAAAACATTAAGAAAAAAAAAGAGCAATAAAAGAACATGAATTAAAAAAAGAGAATATAATGATTGACATTGTATTTACATTTTTGAAGATCAAAGTTGACTGGAAAGCAAGAAAATTGAAAAATGTTCTACAGGCAAGAAGTGTTAGAAGGTAAAATAAAACATTTGATAAAGTAATACTAAAACTTATAAAAAAATTACAGAATAATTAATACACTGAATATAAGGGGAGAGATAGATTAGAAGGTGATACAATCAGTTGAAATAACCCCAAAACTTTTGCTATTTGCAAGAAAGGAGGCCATAATGAATTGATCAAAACAAAAGTACTGGGCTCAGATTCTCAGTATGGATGAGTCAATTGGGAACACTTATGAAAATTGTCAAAAATATTTCAGATAATGGATGCTTGGCTATCAGGACTTAAAAATATTGTTTAAAAATATCTGACTTTATTCAATTAATTTGATGTATATGTAGTGAAAGGCTATAGCAATGGATCTCTCTTTCCATTTGGTATGTTTTTGTTGGTTTTTTACTTGAATGAATTTAATTATATTTTTACAGGTAAAGGCTGGCCGACCAGTTGGTCATATCTTGCGTCGTGCACTAGACTTGATTACAATAGCTGTGCCACCTGCCCTCCCAGCTGCCTTAACAGTTGGAACATTCTTTGCACAGAGACGTCTCAAGAAAGCCCTTGTCTACTGCATTTCACCCAGCAGTATCAATATTTGTGGAACACTAAATATTGTTTGCTTTGACAAGGTAATTTAGCAGATTATAATTATCAATTTTCTATCTATCTATCTGTTTGTATCCGTCTGTCTGTTTCTATCCATATATGTCTGTCTGTTTCTATCTATCTGTCTATCTATCTATCTATCTATCTATCTATCTATCTATCTATCTATCTATGAGGGTGGCCTGAAAAGTTCATAGGCTGACTATGAAGAATGATACGAGAGCTGTGAAATCTTGCATAAATTAATTTCAGCTCCTCTTATTAATTATGCATGGTTTCTTTCCAGATAAACTGACATCTGACTGTTCAAAGAAGACTTAACAAGTTGTGATGTTACTTGAAAATGGACTAAATTTGGCATTGTGGTGTTATCAAGTACCTGAAGAAAAAGGTTTAACCTCCAAGTACATTCATGTTGACATGGTGCTACACTAGAAGATGATGCTCCAGCTTTATCAACAGTACAAAAGAGGACAACTGAATTTAGGAGGGGAAGTGAGAGTCTTGAAGATGACCTAAGTTCTGGATATCCTGTGACTACCACCACCAAGGAAAACATTGATCATGTTCACTAATTGCTGATGTATGACAAGCAAATGACTATAAATCATACAGCCAATCCCATGAGAGAGTTGAGAATATTCTGCACAATCAACTTGACATGATGAAGGTTTTTGCTCAGTGGTTCTACCTCTTCTGATATGTAATCAGAAGTACACAGGCTGACTTCATCATGGGAAAATCTGATATTGTTTGAAGCAGATCCAGCTGTTTTTCTTGAATGTTTCCTAACTCAAGATGAGAGTAGAGTTCATCACTTTGAACCAAAAAACAATGCATCAGTAAAAACAACTCTCCTCACCTGCTTCAAAGAAAGCTAAGGTTGTTTCATCTGCAGAGATGATCATGATGGTTTCAGTTTTTTAGGATGCAAAAGATATTGTGTTTATTGTATATCTTCAAAATCACTACGCCATCAATAGAGAGTACTATGCCAACTTGCTGAGGTGGTTAGGAAAGTGTATCAAGAACAAACATCCAAGAAAACTGACAAAAGACGTCTTGTTTCTTCCAGACAATGCTCCAGGACACAAGCCCTTGGTTTTAATGACTGCTGTGAGTGACTGTGGCTTTGAACTGGTTGATCACCTTCTTTATTCTCCTGATTTGACTATCATCCCTATATATATATATATATATATATATATATATATATATATATATATATTCACACACATGCACACACTACAGTTCAAAAGTTTGAAACCACTCCCAGAATTAGCATGGGATGAACTTGACAGAAGAATGAAAAAAAAAATGAAAAAAGAGCTCTTAGAGTCATTGAAAAAAGAATGAAATTAATTATCAAACTTATACTTTGAGAAACTTTTGTAAGGCATGCCAAAAATTTGTGATGATAAATATGATAAAATATGATAATAAAAACTAAAGGACGATATTTTGACGAGAACAAAATTTAAACATAAAATGTTTTTTCTTTTTGTCATGATAAAATTTCAAATAAAAAATCATGTCTCACTTTTTTTTTTAACCATGTATAATAATTTTACCTTAAAGTAGAAAACAACTACATTTTGGGCAAATTTAAAGAATTACCAGGGGTGGCCTCAAACTTTTGAATTGTCATGTGTGTGTTTATATATATATATATATATATATAATAGCTCCATGGTAATAGCTCTATCATTGAGGCCACCCCTGGTAATAGCTCCATTAGAACACATTTAAACACACACCCAGATTTACCCGACACCATTAGAAACATACTAGTAGAAAACACAAATATATTAACTGCATCCACCTGCAAAAAAGACTAAAAATAATGGAAGCTCTAATAATAAAAAAGAAAAAGCCAACTCTTAACAATATTAATTACGAACAAAGCCACAATGTGCTAACCGTATTTGGAAATTAAAAACATCCCTACCACACACTGATATGTACACAGAACACACACACATTAAGCTGATAATCGAATCATCCTTGATAATGGCTAAAGGTATAGCTGAAAGCGCTTGGAAATATAAAACATTCAGACACTTCTTACACACCCTTTGTCCAGAAAAGAAAGCTCTTGTCAGAACACAAGAAAAATTAAATAAAAAGCTCAACCGTAGTACCTTGTCTGTCGTTTTTAATTAAACATGCATAAAGGAAGGATTGCTGCCTAAATATAAAATATATATATATATATATATATGTTAATTCTTGTTTGTTTTTCTGTCTCAGTCAATTCCTATCTATATTAAGTCTGTTCTTATCTTTCTTTCTCCCTATGTTCCTATTTGCATGTGTCTGTGTGTGTGTGTGTGTGGTGGCATGACATTTTTATCAGCACAAAAAATGGATTCAGCAAATCAAGTTATAATTTCAGCCAATTTCATGTTCACTTCATACACTCACACACATGCCACTGAGGATGTTTTTGAATAGACCTCTTGATACTTATACCAGACATTGGCTTTGATAATATTTCTTGTTTCTCTCTCTCTCTCTCTCTCTCTCTCTCTCTCTCTCTCTCTCATATATATTCAGTGTTTTAATTATTCTGTAAATTTTTCATAAGTTTTTCAAATGTCTTGTATTCCATAATTATCTCTTTTATAAAATGTTTGTCATATATTTAATAATCATACACATATGGATTAAATGAATTAATAAGAAGGCTTAGAGGATTAGTTTAAATTAGAATTCATTCCAATATAAGAGTTTATGCCAGACATAAAACTAAGTAACAGGGTTTGTTTGCCACTTTCACTATTCCTGATGAAAAGCTCATCTTATATTTTATTAAAATGATTTCACCTCAAGCAATGTAGAAAAGTTGCTATGACACAAGGGGTTACTGGATGTAGAAGAATTAGGAACAGAAACATTACTAATGAGCAAGAAGAGAAAAGAGTAATCAGGAAGACAGTAACAATTGACATTGCATTTAAACTTTTGAAGATTAACTTTTGCTGGTTGGAAAGCATGGAGCCAGAAGGGAATTCCACATGTGAAATGTGAGAAAAGTAACTGTTAGCATAGAACTTATGGCTACATCTAGCCAGCTCAACTGTAGATTGATGAGATATTGACACCAGTCTAGTACAGCACTTAAATTCAAAAAGTCTAGGTACCATAGCAAAGATCTCATTCAAACAGTTAGCATGAAAGTATTTATAGAAAAGACACAGGGAGGCAACCTTACAGCAGTGGAAAAGTGACTGAAGCTGAGCTGCCAGATCAAGACCAGTAATATTGCTGATTCTTCTTTGAATTTTATCAAGGAGCTCAAGGTAAATAGCAAGGGCGCCATACCATATGTGGTAGCAATATTCTAAGCATGTGTGAATGGTAGGCTTATAGATATGAATGATAGATTCTAGAGAGAAAAATTATCTAGCACAACACAGTGAACTTTCTTAGCATCTGACCAAGCAATGGATTCAATATAGAATCTCTTTGTCAATTGCAGTGTTTATTCCCATCACCTTCAGAACATAAATATTCTGTAGATTATAGGAATAAACAATGAATTATAAACAAAAGTAGACAATTTTTTTATTAAAAAATTGATTACCTACAAGAATTTTTTAAAAGTTATCTTATCCATTTAAAAAAAAAATTATTTTTTAAATAACACTTTTTTTTTGTTTTCATTTTCAATTTAGACGGGGACACTGACTGAAGATGGTCTTAACATGAAATATGTTGTTCCTGCTACAAATGGAAGGTGAGTGATAGAAAGTTTGCTAAATTATTTCCAGCATTATTATTATTGATATCCTCAATATTGTTACATTTGTTATTCTGTAATAAAATAATCCTAATTTATTTTGGAAAAGTTTATAGCATCATAAGAAGTCCCAAGTCAACAATTGAAACCAAAAGAAAGTTGTTCAATGAATTTGTTCTGCCAGTGATGACATGGAAGTGGGACATGGGCACTCAACACCACCACTGCAGAGTGGTCTGACATAGAATGGAGTGAACCATGCTTTGCATCACCTTACATGACAAGAAGAGCCACACCTGGATTTGACAGAAGACTAGCGTGAAGAACATAAATGAGACCATCAAGAACTGAAAAAATAGATTGGCTGGCCATGGGTTTTGTCTTTGAGACAACAGGTAGACTATTAGAGTGACAGAGTGGACACCAAGGCAGAAGAAAAGAAATAGCAGGTGGCTAAAGGCAACATGGCATGATGAACTGACATGATACCTAGTCCTCACAAGGCCCACTATAGCCAGAGATAGAAAGTGGTGGTGGTCAATCAGGGAGGAGTTCCTCCAACAAGAGTGAAAAGTTTCTGAATTTGGGATTTTTGGAATTTATTGGATAAATAATGCTTTCAGTATTAAAACAATTTTGGGCAGTACAAAACTTAAGTACAGCATAAAGAAGTGGAGATATGCTGAAAAACATTATTGAAAAAAAAGAAAAGAGTTGCTTGACCTCTTAAGCAGCCATTGGCTGTGATGGTACTGGAGTTTGTGGACAATGGGAACCATATCATGTTACTTCACTTCTTCCCGTCTTAGGGTATCAGAGTCAATGTCACCAGCTTCATTCACCTTGGCTGATTAAACCCTGGACAGATGGGGTGATAATACATATTCCAACAGAACTCTGCCCCCTCCCACATATTCAATGTAACCCAGAAGTGGGTAACTTGGACTATTAATAATTATATCATGCATATGATGGCCAGCATGAACAAGATTCCCCTGATCCAGACATGCAGTTTCTTGTTGAATTCTTCCTAAAATCAAATCTTCTAGTTCACAATACACTAATTTCCACCATTGGATGGATGTCAATGCTCTGAATGCCCAAAACTGAACTAAAAATCCATCATCTATGCAAGGATTAACACATATCTTCCGTTTACTCATACACTGAAAGAAAAAAACAACACAATCCAGAATTTCCACCCAATAGCACCCACGCTCATCTAAAGAAACAAAATGAAAACTGGAGCTGATCTGAGCCTTAAAAAGGACATAAAAGCCCATCAAAGGTACATTTGTGGTTGGATGGCATCTTGACCTGAGTTCACACACTTTATCAAAAAGCAACCTCCCATCTCCAAAGACATCAGACTCGACCAGCTCGCCAAACATTGTCACTCCAGTAAATCACAACTCAACCTCCCTCACCCTGATTTTTCATGTTGTATTTTTTCTTAATACATTTGTTTATTTCTTTAAATTTTTGTTGTTTCTTCTATGTTTTGCCACCATGTGCTTAGTAATGTAAAACATACATTCACATCATAACATTATGAAGCCACATAAGAATGTTGTTATGGCTATGTGCAGTTTTACTGAATTATTGTTTTTTTTAAGTTGAACCTGTCTTTTGAAAAATATACTGATTATTTTTCTCCATACAATATCTTTGTTTTTCTTTATATTATAATTTGTTCTCCCATATCTGGCACACCCTATGAGAAGCCGTTTTTTATGTTTGATTATTCCAACACTCAATTTTATAAAATATTTCAATGTTATTATATTTATCTATCTTCTACTTATATGCTTTTGCTATTAAGAACTTTGAAAAAAATAACAGTTCTGTTGTAATGGAATATTCCACTCAACCTATTGCATATTGTGGACTGACTATATCAGTAAATATATATTGTGTGTGCTCAGGACATACCTGAGACTGGCCTCAGGAATTGCTAGCCTGCTAACCGATTCCCTGTTTTTCAGTAGTGTATTCTCTTTTACAATAAACCTCTCTTTCATCTATGTCTGTGTTGCTGTTCCTTTCACTCAAGTACCACCTTTGTCTGTTTGTAACCTCTTTAATGACACAACAATTTCATATGTCAAAATCTTTTTTAATCTCTGAAGGAAAGCAAGAAGAGAGGATCAAACATCAATTGCAATTAGACAGAATGCATGGTTGTCAGCAAAAGAAACAGTCCAACATGGGAATTGCAAATTGCAGATTCCAAAATCAAGCAAGTACAACAATATCTGGATAGTGTTTGAACAAAGGATGGAAAGTGTGGCACTGATATCCGAAGACACATTGGGATAGTGAAAGATGCCTTCCAAAAGCTAAGCAAAGTATTGAGAAAAAGGAAAATTTTGTTAGATATAAACAAAAGAGTACTAAACTGTTACATAATATCAGTTCTCCAAAATGGTAGTGAATGCTGGGCCATCCCCTCACATATGAAGAGATTTGAAGCAACAGAAGGATGCTGAGAATACCATGGACCAATGACAAAGTTTCAGAGAAAATGAAAACAAAAAAGGACACTTACAGTTAACACCAGAAAGAGACAATTGACATTTTTAGGGTGCATAATAAGAAAAGAGGGCTTGGAAAATTTAATACGCTTGATTGAAGACAAGGGGGATTGAAGACAAGGGGGACAGAGGACAACAACACATAACGGGCTGGAGTAAATGGATGGTCAGACAAGGTTTAGGAGAGATAATAAAAAGACCAAATTTACTAAGATCTACAAAAGACAGGAAATTGTGGAGAGACATGATTGTTAACATCCAGAAGGGACACGGCACATAAAAAAGCAGCGGCAAGAGACAGCTACTAATGTTATTTTGTATAAAACTTTAAACAGTTTAAATCCAAGTATCTTTCTCTTTATATTTTGAAAGAGTTGTAAAGTTCTGAATCCAAAGAATTAATGGATATTTTTTGGAAAATTCCAATCATCCATACATTTATCACTCTTTCTCTCATATATATATATATATATATATATATATATATATATATATTGCCACAAAAATTTTTTCTTAGCAGTTGCCAAAAATAGCCTTTTTTTAAAAATATGATCTTGTTAAAATGGCCTTTTTTCTTTCTTTTTTTATTTCAGACTTATTTTTGAAATAATCTCAAATTATCAAAATTTTAACATTGGTATATCATTTTTAAATTTGTTTTTTTCTTTTTGGTTCATTAGATTCAGTATTTTGATTAAATTTAAAATTTTTACATTTTGTTTTTTGTAGATTTGAATCTGAAAACCAGCCCCATGAACCACTGCCCATTGGACAGCTACTCTATGGCATGGCCACTTGCCATTCCTTGACCATCATTGACCACAAATTAACAGGAGATCCCCTTGACCAGATAATGTTTGAAACAACTGGCTGGGTAAGCACCATCTTTGAGAAAATGACATGCCAGTCTCTTTTTTATTTCTTCCATAAATCTTTTTAATTGTTAATAAATCTTGATAAATATCCTTTAAGAAATATTTGAAAAAGTGCACAGAAGGTTTTGTAATTATTTCTTTTTAAAAATAGTAGTAAAATCTGTAAAATGCTTAGAGTTTTGAATTAAAATGTTTATATACTTCCTAAAATATTTAATGAAGTGACTGAACATTTTTCATTTATTTGCATTGTAATATTGTTTACTTCATTGCTTTGAATTTTTTTTTTTTACTTACATAAAAGTAAAAAGAACAAATGAAAACAATTTTTTTTCTTTTCAAATTAAAATAGGATCTGAAGGAACCTGGAGAGGAGGAAAGCCGTTTTGATATGATTGCACCAACCATAGTTTCTCCAAAGTCTTCAACACTAAATGGCACCAATGTAATTTCTGCGGAGGTAAGGAATATAGCTTTAACCTATTGGAATATTGTGATAAGAAGACTTCAGAATACAGAGGTTTATAAAATCTATAAGTCTCAAAATCTGTAGTTTGTAAAATCTATAGGTCTGTCTGGTAATGAAGACTGAAATTTATAAAGCACTTATGATGCTCACAACGGATGATGAAAGAAAGAAAAAAATTGCATGCTTACATCTATAACACAGACCTTGACAGAATGGTTCTTTTTTGACAGTAGCAGCATGTAATGCAGGTATGTTTTGATTAATGAAGTAAGCCACCATTTTCTCTTTCCCAAGTGGAAAAATCTGATGGAAGAACAGTTTTATTTTGAAAGGATGCTAAAAAGTTATCAGCTCCATCCACTTCCTAAAGTCTGACCTAATGACTAAGCATCAGAATTTTGTGGGGAATGTCTTCTTGGTTGAACCAAGAAATTTTCAGTACCTCCTTGTCAATCTCTCACTCTCAAGTTCTGAATGTTGCTACTCCAGTGACTGCAACTAAAACTACTACTATTAGTTATATTAGTACTATCAGTAATACTACTGTTAGTAATAATTATAATAATGTTAATGTGTTTGGTTATCACAGGAGATCAAGTGACATGATAGCAACTTAGCTATCTTCAGGAATCTCCTCAGTATTTTTGTAGAGTTGAGTAATGTTATAGATTTTATTGTCTTATTCAGTTCTTGAATCTTAAAGGGTCATTGGAACTGTGCCAAGTGTACCAATGATTATTGATACTACTTATGTTCTCATTGTGGTGTTCTTGTGTATGATTCTAATAATTCTTTTATTTTTTCATTCTCCTTTACTCTTGCTCTGTGATATGCTGGGATAACCAGTATTTTATACCATTTGTTTCTTCATTAGGATCTAACTTTGCCTTGGATTGAGATGGGGGCTGTCAATATTAAAGTCTGAAATCATTTTCTTATCATCATCATCATCAGACTAAGATGTTGGAGGATGTCTAAATAAAGGAAAACTATAATTCCACCCTAAACAGAATTTATTATGTATCAACCTAAAAATTAAATCTGAGTAAGACCACAAATTACTAGATTGAGATTTAAATATAACTGACTGAGAAATGTATATATGGAATAATAAAAAAAAACTGAAATAATTTGGGTAAACAGAATGGAATGATTTTCTTAAATGTTACAGAAATATTCTATTTTGAGGATGGATGCAATAAAAATTCAGTGTATTTAATCCATATCCTCCTGGTTTCAGTTTACGACTCCTTTATAAAATATAAATATCAACTATAATTTTTAAAAATAAAAATTTAACTGAAATATGTTGAAAAATTTCCAAGTTTTTATATGAAATCAAGAAAATATGAACTTTACACAAAATGCTCACAAGATATAGAAAACAGAATTCATCTCATTAAAACGGACATCAGGAGCATATAGATTAAAAACAAGATGGAAGCAGTCTGTAAAGTACAAATATTGCTCACTGTGATATGGACTTCCACTACTATTTAATAAAAAAAACAGAAAATGCTGGTTTTGTTTTTTACCAGGTAAGTATACAGAATAAGACTGTCAAATTAAGAGTCACCATACACTGATACGACCTCCCCCATCTATCAATGTTTTAGTTCCATATTCATAAGCCGAAAAGGTCGACTTACACAGGTATGTCCAGTAAAAACCTATTTTTGTGTCATTTTGATAGCTACTGTTACAACACCTATTATCAAAATTTATTTTAATTACTTTCATTCTATAACAGCAACAGTAAATCCTGAAAGATGTATTTTATTATTCATTTTTAGATCACTGGACAGGAAATCGGAATTATCCGCCAGTTTCCGTTCTCCTCTAGACTCCAGCGGATGTCTGTGATAACTAGGCGCCTCGTTGCTAAAAACTTTGAACTCTATACAAAAGGATCGCCAGAAATGGTTGCCTCCCTTTGCAAACAGGACACTGGTGAGTGCTCTCCCTTACATCATGCTTTCTCTTTTCGTCATAAGTTGGATGTTGAAATTTTTCAAATTCACTAACATTAAATTTTTAAAATTCATTTAACAGCAATGATATTATGAAAGGTGAAAACGCGTAATCATTATAAATGTTTTGTGTTAATTAGATCGTATAGGTTAGTGACATAAACTGCTATGAAATATAGCATTAATTTATTTAATAAATGATAATGCTTCAATATTTACATTATTTAGTTAAGAAAACAATTTATGTAGATTTTTTGTCACGAAAAACATTTATGTAGATTTTTATGTAACTAAATTGTTATAAGTATCTAATAGTATTAAAGAATTAAATATAGTGTACATATAAGTAATAACTTATATGTATGCTATTGTAATGATTGCCCTTTTGATAATATTCATTTATTTCTTGAAAACTTTCTGTTGAATACTTTGTTTACTTGACAGGGTGTAAATTTTGATTAAAAAATCCTACAAGACTTACTTGATTGACTTTGTATCAGCGACTTTCATGTTCTCAGGATAGAAAGAAGTAATGTGTAAAATGTAGAAGTAAAATGAGTTACAGTTGTATAATTTTTCTGGTTGGCATAGTGGATTCTCTTATACTTTTTTTACATGTAACTGTTAGGGACTTTTGTAGACACATTTTATTCATGAATTAGAATGAAAACAATCTTAAATATATGTACAGTAAATCAACTTATATAGTAAGTTTTTCAGTGTATTCATGACACAATGGTGATACTATTTTTCTTTTGTAGGAGATCTTTGTTGTAGTTTTTTGCTTGACCTAATCTGAAAAACTTCATATTAATTGAAGCAAGGAAGTTAAATTCTATTCTTGTCAGATAATTGAAAAAATTTTAAGGAATTTTGGTTTCATGTCAGAGAAATAGGAATTTTATAATGTAACTTGACATGCATCAAATGACATGTTTATTATATGCATTTTTCAATTGAAAATTGTTTGAAAATAAATGCTAAATGTTATTTATGTAATATATATTTGTTTTCTAGGATTAGTAAAATCTGAATAAAAACTCTGGTACATTTATATACTTAACTACTGTTTGTTATGCAATTTCCTAAAATCAGGGAATTTCACTGGAATCTTTTAAGGAAATCTGGTAATTTTATTTGACTAGGCTGGGAACAAGGATGTTGAATATGAAATGGTTGGGTGCCTAATAGTACAACTTTATTACATTATTGATGCCAATTTGAAGGAAATTTTGAATTGAAATGGTTGATGAAAAAATTCATAAAAATAAATCAAAAGACTTATTTTTTGTGTAATTAATATCAGTTAAAAATGATGAACATCAATGTAAATGTAAATATTACATTTATTATCAAATGCAGACAAATTATAAGTAAAAAGTATTGAAAGCATAAGATTCCCAATGGGTACAAACTAAATATTTACAAATAATATATTTTATAAACTAGATGTGAATAATTGCGATGCCTTATTTTCAGATTAAATCTGTTGGTTTTTTTTCATGTTTAACTGCACACGATTTACTCTTCTTTGGTTTAATTATAGTTTCATTAACCATTTATAATTTATACTTTAGTTGCTACTTTATAATAAAAATGATTCCTGCAATATAAACTGACACCTAAATCTCTGAGGTATTAATTCAATCAGGTAAGTTCATCTCACCAAATAATGCTGCAATACTTCCATCGAACTGTTTCAATTTCAGGCAGCCTAAATAGACTAATCAAACCTATTCTTCTTTTTATTTTTAAGAATTTATACAGCAATATTTACAGTATTTCTGCATGGTTTTTGCTTTTACTTGTGAAATATATTTTTTATTTAATATGAAATCTCAGAATATGTGTAAATATAGGACCTAATAATTAAACCCATCCATATAATCATTATATACAAATATATAAATCAAAGCTGTCTTTTGCAATGAATAAAATGTAGCATAGGCCATAAGAAAGAAAAGTAGGACAGAAAATACAATAAATATTTAATAAAAAAATTATCCAAATTCCAGCAAAGCTTATTTTCAATATGTGTGGTTAAATCATTTAACAGAATTTATTTCTGCTGTTTTACACCTCACTTCAGTTTATTACAATATTTTTAATAAGAATATTTTGTAATATATATACTAAGTATGTACCATTTAAGGATTTTAATAAAAGTAAAGACAAGTTTGAAAATAAGTCTTCAACCATCACTTATGTAGCCAAATAGTCAATTTCATAGCACAAACATCTTTTGTTTATAGTTTCAGTTTCTTTTTATTTAATTTATATTTTTATTTACAATATTCATTTTTAACTTATTTTTTATTTATTATACTAATATTGATATTTTTACACATTAAATTAAGTTTGATATAAAGTTACATAAAAACTGATGAGAAATCTATCAGAGTTATTGTAACTCTACACAATGTCTTGTCAGAAGAATATATTTAGGGAACAATCTAATATTTACAGGAAATTCTTCTTTAAATATTATTCTTTTCATTTTAGTTTTCACAGCATTTCACACACACACACTGAGTTCATTCAGATAATAAGAATTGAAATTCTTCCAGAGACAATTCTATAAAAATCTGAAAGTATAATATTTAACAAATAAGTTGGATGAGTAAAACTTTTTTTAACTGATCACCCTATAATCAACTTTTATTATGATGGAATAATATGCCTTTTCTCTCAACTTATTCTGGATGCTTTTTGTTGATTACTACTTTGAGTTGACCAAAATGAGAACAATACTTATTTAAATCAATTGTTTGGTATTTTGGAGATGGCTCCCTTCCAATCTTATCCTGCCATATACAGAATGCGATGGGTAAATTGTCGCCATTTTATATTTTTACTTTCACACATATGCATTATTTGTTTTTGATTTTTGTCGACTGTACAGTATAGTAAGGCCAGTTGGGCACTGTATGGGAGAAAAAGAGTACCATGATGCAATTCACGCCATCAAAAAATTGGAAATGGCATGCTGTACTGCTTGGCATTATAGCAGAAGACCCAATACAAACATTTCAAAAGTGCTTAGGTGTCAATCTGAGGACAGTGCAGAGGATTCAGAAAGAGTTGGATGTCTAATTGTAATTACAAAGGTTTGGTAGCTTGAAAAACTCACTCTAACTGTTTTGATAAGAAAAGAACTCCCAAATTTGTTGGTGAGGAACACAAACTCAACATGGAGATCTATATCAAGTGCCTTGAGGAAGTAGTGCTGACCTGGACCAAGCTGGAAGACCCTATGTTTGGCAACAAGACTCTGCACCATGCCACACAAGCAGGAGAACCCAGTCATGTCAATTTCTGTGACCACATCACCCCTTACATCTGACCAACTAATAACCTAGACTGCAAACCCCTTAATTATTATGTGTGGGGTGCATTTGAGTGAGAGACCAACAAAACTCCTTGTAACACCAAAGATGAATTGAAGGCAAGGATTATGGCAGTGTTCACCAACATAAACAAGGAAACCATCTAGAAGAGTTGCAGGAGGTTCTGAAATTGTCTAGAGGGCATGGTTGAAGTCATTAGTGATTTTATTGAATAAATTTACTCTTTAGTATTTCAAGATATTTTTGTGTACTTATTTTGATAAATATATCTGTTAAAATGAGATGTCAATGTTATTTTCATTTTTTGTGTAATTTAGACGACAATTTATCGATCGCAACCTGTACAAAATATCATTTTTTTGGTACAGTTAGTAGTGCTTCATTTTGATTGTCTCATGATCTCTGGTTACCTTGGTATGGGATAATGATTAGAGAAATTAGTCTGGTTCACTATTAATGCTGAGTGGTGAGTTTGATCTTCACTGGCTGTCCCAGACAAAATTTGATATTAAATAACTCAAAAGGGTTGATATGTTTTCTGTGTTGCATAATAATACTTTTCATCACTTTTCACAACTTTAAAAAAAATTTTTTTATTAGATCTAAGTAATGAATTACATTTAGAAATAGTGTTTGCTTTTGTTTTTTGTTCATGTGGAAACCACACATCAAAGTGACTAACATAACTAAGCTGGTGCAAATGAATTTCAACACTTGATTTGAATATTTTAAGTATGTTGGCCATCTCTCTCATATCTTATAATATTGATGATTCTCAGGTAATGTAAGTATAAGTTTCCTTTTTGTTTCCATTTTTCCCTGTGAGCAACGACAAAGTTTTAAGGGAAATATAAACAAAAAGGACAAATAGTTAGAATCAGAAAGGGAGACTTGATATTTCTGGGACATATAAAGAGGAGAGAGGGCTTGGAGAATTTGACACTCTCAGGACATTGAAGAGAAGTGGGGTAGAGAGAAAATACAAGTAACCTGCCTGACTAGCTTGTATAAATGAATGGAAGAATAGGGACTAGGAGAGATAGTAAAAAGACAAATATAAGTGCTTCAAAAGATAGTAAGTTTTGGAGAGGCATGTTTGCTCACATCCTGAAGCGACCCAGCACATAGAAAAAGGTCTTGATTACTATGAACTTCAACTGGTCTCCTGATCATCAAAGAACATTCAGGGAGAAATCTCCAGAATTCAAATTTTCAAACTGTTTTTGATACATTCAATCATTCTCACAACCTTCTCTATAAATTGCACACATTTTTTTTTGCTATTTGAGTTGCAATTTTATTTTTGTTAAAATTAATATATATATATATATATATATATATATATATATATATATATATATATATATAAAAATATATGGATATAGATCCGACAGTATGAAGAAAAATATACTGAAAAAAACAAACAAAATCCTAATATGTGATTATGCTGTTTTAATGAAAAATGATCAACGTTTGAATTGTTTATGGTCTAATAGACCATCTTTTATGAATATTCATAAAACATGGTTAACATAGACCAAATACAATTCAACATGAAAAAATGACATTAAACATTTTTGTATAATCGCATATTAGGATTTTTGTTTGTTTTTTTCAGTATATTTTTCTTTCATATATATATATATATATATATATATATATACTGAAAATGTTGCTTATTTTCATTCACATTCAACAAGAGGATCAATAATAAAAAATAAACTAATTTTGACAAATTCTTTAAAAAATGCATGCTTACATGATGGCAATTCCAATATAATTTTATTCATTAAAAACTAAATGTTTGCCATTTAACAACAAAAAAAACACAGATTTTCAATCACCCTAATAAAGAATATTGATAATTTCAAATAATATTGATTAAAATATATGCTTAACTTCTGCTAAGGCTTTTGTAAGAAATAAAATCACAAACCAAATATTTTAATGATTGTGGTGCCATATTTTACAATGTTTTCCTTTTCTCTTTTGCACATACACAGACACCTATTTTGAAAGTTCCCAGCTTAATGAATTTTTTTAAACTGCAATAAATTTGTGTATTGCTGTTATTGACTTTTTATTTTGAAGTGCAGACTTGTATTGCATTATGTTGTTGTTGTTGTTGTTGTTGTTATTGTCCACACAGCTTCATCATTTGATATGTACCTGAAAGGGTCACCAGAAGTTGTAGCATCACTCTGTAGACCTGACACTGGTGAGACATTGTTGATGCTCTTTGCCTCAGCTTAATCAATAAACCAACCTTCCCACCCTCAAACACTTGAATTATGTCCCGCATACCTTTTACCATCATATCAATCGTATCATACCATCAATACCATGACAATTTTTTCATTATTACTTCAACGCATAGAAACTGCATCATTTGTCATAAAGTTTTGACTTTTTAAAAACATTAAAAAATTGCTTCAGGTTCAAATCGATAAATCAATTTACAAAAAATTATAAGAAAATCAGTTCATAACTTGCTTTCTTAGATATCCCATGAATAAAGGAAGAGATTTCTATTAGAAATTTTTAAAATAAGGTACTGTTGTTGTTGTTGTTCAATGGTTATTATCATAAAATTTCAACTGCTCTGCTTTTTGGACTTCATCAGATATCAATTGTATTTGGTAATTTTCTAGGAGAATATTAAACAGAAAACTAAATTTCATCCAGAGTAAAGGAAGATAATTATATTCATTCTATATTATCTACTGACCTTTTTGCATATTTCTCAACTTGTAGCTGACAATTTTCTTTATAGTATCTCTTTGCTTCTTCATTGAACTAATGTAATCTTGCACTTCCTAGCCCAGAGATTGAACTGACAATTTCCAGGGAATGAGATTTGCAAAAAAAAAAGCCTTATATCAACTGAACCATTTCTTGTAAGACAAGCCAAAGAATATGGTAGCTGAAATGTTGGCATAAAAACTAAAATAAGTCCAAAACAATTATATGTTGAATTAGTCAGTAATCATAAGAAAATTGTAAACAATGTCTTAAATTAATATCCGTTTATCTAAAGATTCTGAAAACTGCGCAATGTGATAAAAAAATCACTGATTGCTAATGTTGAATTGATTCAGGATGGAAATTGGCAAAAGGTAAAATATCACATTCAAGAACCAGAGAGAACAAAATTTCAGATTAAAGATGCAGCATTTGAATAAAAAAGAAGAAATATTAATTCACAAAGAATTCAAGAAAAAATGATGAAAGAAATGTATTAATTTGCCAGCAAGTTTCCATTGAATATTTTCTCAAAAATAATTTTCAGTTATCTGATAAAAATAAAAATATGCCACTTAATGCCACCTTTGTAAAAGAGCTAAGAAGATATTGTCAGTTGATAGTTTGTAACTATCAATCGGAGGTATCTTTTGTCTTTATTACAAACGAAATATATAGAAGATTATTTTCAGCTATCTTATAAAGAAAACTGATTTATTCCTAACTAGAATTACCAACTCTAAATCATTTTTTTCTTTCTAGCTTAATATATTTCAATTTATTAATGATACATTTCTTCCATATTCCTTGGGTATCCATTCATTTTCAATTTATCTTACTTCTATCAAAACAAATAACAGACAAATCACTTAATAACTTTGGAAAATCTCTTCATTTTTCACATCTAGTTGTTTCAATCAAAATCTGTTTTATCACATTGAGTTTGTTTACTTTTATTTTATTTCTATCAACTTTGAAAACTACTACAAATCAAAATAGTGAACTTATGTTGTGTTTTATGTTGAACTTTAAGCAATTACACTATGGCAGATTTTATTATGCAACTCAATGTTTTTACATAAAATTGTTATTTATCAACTGATGATGATAAACTCTTATCTGTAGAATAAATATACTGTTGTGGAGTGATTAGTTTGTTTAAATAAAATGTAGATCAGAAGGTGTTATTTTTTTGTTGGGTGAACGAAAACATCTCCACGAATATTTTAATTTATATGGCACAAGGCTGTGAAACACCACAAATATAAGACAACAATATTTTTTAAATAAATAATAAAAAAAAAACATTTATATTACAATAATATACTAAGTTAAATGATTAAATGACTTGGGAAACTTATACCAAGTTGCATGTTGTTTTATACACAAAAATGTTCTTTATGATACATAAAAAGTGTCTTTTTTTAGTGTGATCAAAGTGTATGCAAATAATATAGGATTTGTAATGAATAAATTAGTTTGGAGTTAAACAAACTGTTTTTAAACAAATCTTTTTAGTTAAGAATTTTAATATTAAGAATACAGTAGAAGTTGTCTACCTTGAACTGTTAAATTGTTTTTTTTTTTGTCATGGTTTAAAAAGTAAAATACTTTTAAGATAATAGTTTAAAATTACTTGACGAAAGTAGATTCCAGTTGAAAGGAAAGTTTTCAAAGAAGAAAGTGTTGTTCTTCCACAAAAAGTTTGTCAGATAATTTTTGAAAGTTTGTTGAGTGAGAGAAAATTTGAATATAAGTTGAAGATCAAAAATTATGATTCATGTTTAAAGAGAAACTTTTAAACTTTACATTTCAGAGTTGATTTGATATAAATTATCGAGAATTCCTTGCTGAACAATCTCTTGAATATAAATGTGCGTTTTGAGATCTGTTAGCTCTTAAGCTAAAATTGCAAGATAAATTATTACTGATGAAAAATTTCAGTGCTGGAAATGAATATCAAACAGGAATATAATGAGTTAGAAAGGCATTTAGCAGCAGAATATGTTGTAGTTAAATTCTCATTGTCTCACTGATGAGATCTGCTCGCATTGCTGTATTTATTTTGTTTTAGATCACATGACTGGCTCCAAAACTTGTTCAAAAACTTTTGGTGACAAACGAGGTTGCATAGGTGTTGTATACATTTTTACACTTAACAACCACTCAGCAATCAAACTTAAATAGAAACTTCTATGATTCATTTTTTGCACAAAAATTGCTGTCAAAAGAAACTATTACATAGAAAATGCATTGAAATCTTTTTTGACCAATAGTATTCACTGAATCAAAAATAATAATATAATACAATCAACTGGAAACAGAATGCTAAAATACTGTCAACTTAAAATATCTGTTTTTAATAGAAATATTTACAATAACTTATTTATATTTGAGATTTTATTATGTAACAAAGACTGTCATATTGAAAATAAACAAGTTATTGATGTTTAATTTTTATTTTCCAATTTATAAAGATTGCTGTCAGTCATAAGAAACATAGCTTCAAAAACAAAAAAGAAAAACAGATATAAAATTCTTGAACATTGTGAACATGACATTTAAAATAAAAAGTTGAGCAGTACTTCCAAAATTTTGAAAATATGAATTGAAAATATTTGCAAGATACCCCCCCCCCCAAAAAAAAGACACTGGCAATAATAATGTCAAAGAGAGCAAATTAAAAGGGTTTAATAACTAAGAAAAGTGGATTGGTCAGCAAGAAAGAAGTCAGTCTTACAAATATAAACAGAGAAATAAGATATAGAGTATTAATAACATTGGCTAAAGACATGTAAGAAACCAAACAACCATCCTTAAGTAAACATCATAAAGTGAAATTAAGTTCAACAAAGAATTATATGAAAACTGTACTTTTTAGTAATGAATTTAAAGCTAGATTAGTTGAACTTGATAGCTGGGCTAGAGGTTGAGTTCTTCCTGGAAATAAACATCTCTAATATGATTCAGAAGAAAACTGGGGTTGGAGTGGATATAATTTTAAGTTCTTGGATATGATGGTTTTTGAGTGATACACCTCAAATTAATGATATGACACCCAGCCTCTCCAGATATTAACTTCGTAAAAAACTTGTAATCCCTCATTAAGAGATGTGTACAAGATAAGGTAATATTCCAATAAAGATCACTGGTTAGCAATAAAAATGACCAATAATGTTAAATTCAAAATCTTACAAAAGTTAATAAAATCCATGGTTGAAGAAAGACTGATGACAGTGATAGAAAGTCTAGGAAGCTATATTATCAGATAAAATAATAAATTAAGAATATATATAACCGAATGGGTAAATATACATAGGTATACGAGCGAGCGATCGTTTACAAATACTCTCTAGTGTAAGAAAATAGTAGAGTGCTCAGTGTAAAGTAACAGAGCTATTTAATATAAACAATATACATAATATCTTACATTAATTGCACAACTCTGAGTTTCATGCCGAAGCAGTTTTCAAGTGCTGGAATTATAATATTTATTTTTATTTCTATTTATGTTCATGGGTTGACACTGTATTTTTTTTTTTTTAATTTTTCTGGCTCGCACAAGATCTATTATTGTTGGGGTTAAAAAAAAAAAAAAATTAAAATGATTATAGTTTAATTTTGAATTTGAACTTAAGCTTGCATTAACTTTTAAGATTGAAAATCATGTTGGAAATAAGAAATACGAATTCTAAATTAGGGAGACACTGGTTTTGAAAACGCAAATAAATAAAAAAAAAAAGGAGCGTTAGGAAATCAGTGGGGGGGACTTTATATTTTTTCAAAAATTAAGAGAGTTACCGATAATTATAATACTAACCTAACTAGACTAAGATATCAGTAACAAAATATGCCATAATAAAATAAATTAATATACAGTAATATACTATAATATAAGGCATAATACAGTACTAGTTATAATAATCATAGCATTTATCAATGGAAATAAAATAAGAAAAACAAGAAAAAATAAAAAATAAAATAAGAAAAATAAAATGGAATAAGAGCCTTATATAGACACATATAAATATGCAAATAAACACATAAAAATGTTGGTTTTGAATTTTAAGTTCAGTGCAGAACAACATTTAAGATTGAAAAGAATGTTGGAAATGAAAAATAAAAAATTTGGTTCTAATTTAGCGAGATGCTGGTTTAGCAATTAGAAATGGTGTTATAAAATCAAAGGGGTAACTCTAATTTTATCCAGGAATCAATAGAGTAATTAATAATAAAATTATCAATATTAATATTCCTAAAAAAACAAAAGTAGTGATAACAGTAATAATAAAATAATAAGATAAGGTAAAATAAGATAAAATGAAATGAAAGCTATACAAAGGAACTTAAAAATATGCAAATAATTAAATAAATAAAGCAACTAAATGAATAATTAAAAAAATGGCCTGTATTTTTGGGATGTATGAATACAAATTTATGTTGCACTTAAATTGTTTACATAATTAAACTTGACCATCACAAAACAAGTTATCAGTATTTTTAATAACAGTAGAAACTTAGATAATGTATTGCTTATAAGAATGTCTCTTGAAAATTTTACTAACATCAATAATTTAGCACTAATTTTATCATGAAAACATTGATTTACATAATAAAATCTGATGTGTATTCTCATTTAACAAAATTTAATCTTTTAAAAAAAAATTTTATCACCTTTACAGATTAAAAAAAAACTATTTATTTCCTTTTTTATCATGATCAATTTCATTTAAAATTAAACTTTAAAACAGTTTGAATTGTGCTAGGACACACTTGTGAAAGCAAGACTGTCTTGATTGAAATGCAGTCAAAGGAAGTTTGGTTGGACCAAAGTAGCATTTCAAGGGAAATAATTTTAGTGACAGGCTTATTTTTCATTTCAAGTCAATACAGTACCTTTATTTGTTAGAACTATCTTTAATAATTATTAATCAAAAAATAATAAACTTTATTGAGAAATTTTATAAGGATTTTGTTTTACTTTATTTTTTAACTCTTTAAGAAATTCTATTGCTCTTTGAATTCTTTCAGGAACTGGAAAATATTTCATTGGATATTTTAATATTTTAACCTAAGAACTGTATTTTCATTCAGAAAAATCAAAACAAAACTGAATTTAAAGCTAATCTTTTAAGAAAAAATATAGAAGTGCATTTAAAAGAAGCTTTCATTCTGGTCCAGTTATATTAAGATAATTCCAAATAAAAAGGAAACAAAATTAAATAATTTAATTATAATAATAATGAACGATTCTGCATTTTATAGAATTTTAAATAAAACAAAAACATTTCAAATTTGATTAATGAATATCTAGAACGTTTAAATCTCTATGCCAAGTTATTTTATTTTCATGTGTATAAACATGTTGATATATTCATGTTTTTTCTAAAACAAAATGTTGCTCCTTAAACTCTTTCTTTACATTCCATATGGCCTATCCTTACTCGGCTTTCATAACCTTTGCTCATTCATTTGGCTTTTTAATGGTAAAAGTATTTTTTAGAAACCATTCGTAACATGTAGATAGTAAATAAATTTTATGCTACATATTCCTTCTACTGATTCCCCGCCTTGTGCCACATCTAAGCTGTGCTTAGAAAATCACTACATATTCCTTCTACTGATTCCTGGTCCATTCCATGTTTTACCATTGGGCTAATCCATTTGCCTTTCCTCTTTTTTATTTTTCTATTTTTGTAATCTGTCTCATTTTAGCATTTACACTTGAGTTTCAAATAGATGGTGGTTGTTGAAATAAAAGATGTTGCTTGAATTTTTTTAGTTCTTTATAATTTTCAGTAACAAAATACTTTGTCCCCAAATGGTCACAGACTAAATTAAGGGATGGGAGAAAATTTCCTGAATATTTAATGAAAATTGTGGTTGAATATAACTGTCCCAGGTGGATTTGAAAAATAAGTAAATAATGAATGTCCTTGCTTGTTTATTTGAAACTCAGATGTACTTAAGATATAGTGAAAGAATTTAATCCGTAAATGCCCACAATAAAATCTGATATTAATTTTAAAAATTGAAATAAAATCTGGTATTAATTATAAAGTGTTACCTATAACCTATTAATATCCAATATCTAAAAAAATGGGAGAGTGAGTTAATCAGTTTGTTATCTCCTCCACCCATAACAAAAAATGTAAATATACTGTCTTTCTAATGAAATTATGATCATTGTCTGAAAGTTAAACAATTTCATAATAAATAAATGTTAAAATTAAGTTTAGAAAAGAAAGTTTTCAGGATTTACAATTAAACAATGCTTTAAGCATTAAAAATGTCCTTCTTTTACAGGAAGAGATGAGGGTCAGGTTGATTTTTCACTTTTCTTTTTAAAAAATTCACATAGCACTCGATGTGAAAGCTGGGGTTTGATGTGAAAAGCACTATCACCAAAACTTAGATTCATAGCTTTTACCAATTTTTGAGCATTGGTGTTTAAAGATCATCTGAAAAGATGTACAGAAATATCTAATTTCTGCAAGTTTTTGCTTACAAACTAAACTTCAAAATTTTGCTATTTCAAGAATAAATCCAAATAAAGTTAATATATTTTGTATTAGATAACATTGAATGGAAAATATATTCAAACCAAAATTCTAATTATGGATCACCACAACCAAAATATGCATTTTTTTACTTTAATCGATAAGTGAAAACTGTAAAAAATTGTGAAAGATTACAAAAAAGGCTAATCAATGAACAAGATCTTACACTATATGTTAGTTCATAATTAGTAAAAACAAAAAAAAAAAAATAGATAAAATTGTATATAATGCCATAATACTTCTGGGCACATCTTATAAGACAAAATGTTTTAAATTTGCATTGTTTATTGAAAATCGGGCTAAAACTACTGCACTATTAATTTATATTATACTATGACATCATAGTATAGCTAAATTGTTCAGTATAATATCCATTTGAAATCAATGAAAGTTTTATTTGATGGCACAATGATATAGTAATAATGCGCTTATGCCTTGCTCCTTTTCCATATAAAATTTATGAAGCTTCAGTAGATAATCTAACGATGTTTTCCACACCTTGTGAATATACAGGTAAATTTGGCAACTTCAACATTGTTCTTTTCATTAAAACCTCTTGCAGTTCATTATTTAAAAAACAATCAGCAAGAGCAGATTTACAAAGTCCATTTTGTGAGAGGTTAATCAACTTTGACCATTGTATTGCTTCAGACATGATGAATGTAATTATTTTTTTAATTTATTCTTTGGTGGCTTGCTACTTTTGAAACAAAAAGGTTTTTATTGAAAAATTTATCCATACTTGCTTATATTTTTGTGATGTAATTTGAATGAAATTTTAAAATTGGTGTTGTAAATGACATAACTTAAATTATGTCTGAATAAATGTTTACTTATCTAATGGACAAAATTTTTTATAGCTTCTTCCTCCAATTCATCTGACTTCAACATTGAGAAAATAATATTTTCTGGAAGTAAGGCAAAAGCATTGTGTTGCAAATTTTTTAATGCAACATTCTGTATTTTGGATAACTGTTGATTTATTCTCTGGATCACATTGAAGATATACAGTTGTTGGTTATGGAATTTATTATCCCTTTTAATTTTTAATTTCAAACCAACTAACTGCATTTATTTAAAATATAAATTTTATAAGGCTGTGCCCTAAGGCTTTCATTGATCACCGGAATGGAATTCCAATATTCCAATTTTGAATTTAGGCATAATTTTTAAACTTGTTTCCTCAAAAACACAATAATGATTTGGAAAAATATTTTGCATCATTATTTATCATGTCAAACCCCAAATTTCAATTTGAGTGCCATACGATGGCTCCAAAATCAACCTGTCCTATATCATAAAAAATAAATTGTCAACTTGCATATCATTAGCAGTTTGCTCATAAGAAGAGTTTAATGGTGGATGCAGTAGATATTTAACACTGCCTCTTTGTCTTATCTATCTGGCTGAAAAAAATGTTATTAAAATCTGATGTCACTATGAAAATGATAAAGTGCTTTATCTTGTTAAAATTAACCTCTTCTTCATCAATATCTGAAAACTCTAGAATAATTAATCTCTGAAGTGTGTATATATTCGAAGTTAAATCAGAAAGTAAAGGCAATTTTGAAATTATGAAGCTAAAAACTACCATGAGGGCAACACCACACATGCGCATGGGATAACCGGTAGATAGATGCGTACAGAATTCCATCATTTAGTTGAGTGGCAGAGAGCAACAAGGAATAGATGTATGATAACTTTTGAGGAACAATGCACCATAATGTGCATTCTATAGGCAGAAGGAATCAAAAATGCAGAAATCTCTTGCCTGATCTTCGAGCATTATGGAGCATGCACCATAAATCAAAAAAAGGTGAATGAGTAGGTAGAACACTTTAAAGTGTAATGGATAAAAACTGGAAATAAAGGTGTTGTATGAAAATTGCTTTTATTTCTTGATTTATCCTTGTGTGTGTGTGTGTGTGTGTGTATATATATATATATATATATATATGTCAAACATTATTTATAATGGATACTTGTATTTAAGTAAACACTCCATTTTTATTTTAAACCATATTTATTTCATCTACCTGCATACACACTTGAAAAAACATATTAATGAAAATGTGCCCTCCAGTAGGATTTGAGCCTGCATCTCCCATTGTAACACACACACACACACACACACACACACACACACACACAAGGCTTACAGTCATATTATATTGAAACACCAGTTCTTGTATGATCACTAAAGTTAAACATCATTGAGCCTGGTCATTACCTAGATAGGTGACCACTTGGATGTGCTGGTGGTGTAATGGATAATTTCTTGGAAATGGAAATCAGAGATTCTGGTTTGTTATATTCATTTATGCGTAAATACCCTTAGGAAAGGTGTGAATCCACCTCTTCTTCCCCCAGCTATAGATTAATTAGTAGGACTTATATCAGTAAATTATTATTATCTTAAACATTTTTTACAATCTAAAAATATTTTCTTGCTTTAAAAAATATAAGAAGCCATACAAAACAAATCAAGTAATCATTAAACTGAAGTAAAATGTTCAATGCATCAAAAGTCAACTCTGAGTATTGTAATTTTTCAATTACTTATCAGGACTCTCAACAAGAATTATTTAACTCTATGTTGGCCTTTGGTAATTATTTAACGGTTTTACTTCTAATTTAATAATTAATATTGCATTAGTTAATATTGAACACTTTATTGACATATAATTCTGTTGAATTTGATATATGCTAAATTATATAATTGTACATGTATTATTTACTAGTATTAATAGCTAACATTTTTATTTTATATATATAATTTTGGGAAGGTTCCCTGTATAATGTACTGAAAGTGAATAATGAAAATTTAACCTTTCTGTAATTATTATTTTTCAGTTAAGTTTAATTCACAATTAATTTTTACTTGTTTATTTATTTATTTTAGTTCCTTATAACTTTCAAGAAATTCTGATCAAATTTACCAAACATGGTTATCGAGTCCTTGGATTTGCATATAAACCCCTCAAGCTCAACTATATGCGAGTTCAAAGAGTCACTAGGTAAGTAATAACATTCTTTATTTGCATTAAAAATAAGATTCCTCCCAACAATGAAAAAACATCTGAAAATAAACATATGAATATGAAAGACACATGTGTCAAGGAAGTTCTTGTTTGTTAAACAGAAAGGAAGGAAGGGAGAAAAGAATATCTTTTTGTCTTTAAATGATTTTGAAACAAAAACTATAGGCAAAAAGTACATGTTTTCTGAAATTTTTACTCACCTTAAAAAAAATCCCTTTTCTTTGAAACAGCAACATTGCAAATACACTCAGTTAGTACAATAGATAATAAAATCCAAAGTAGGCAAGTGTTGATAATGTTACAGAATACTTGTTATCTTTATATAGAAAATACGTGTCTTCTGGTATTATTTTTCCAATAACAATTATTATGGCTTGAATGTGAGTCCAAGTAATAAATGAGTAACACAAAACAATATAAAACAAATGACAATGCATGAATTAACAAAAGAATTATGATTACAATAAAGGAAGAAAACATTTAAAGACTAGTTTCATAGTGTTTAAATTAGTGAATGTGTTTTTGTGTAAATGTGTGTAAAAGAGTACAAAAAAGTCACAAGAGAAAAGTAAGACATTTAAAATAAATGTTCCCCAGTCGTGGGACACTTTTTTTCCCCCACATGCAACTGCATCTTATAGAGTTGTAAAAAAAGGCGAAAGATTTATCGGTAAAACATGACCGAAAGTCGACTGAATGATTTTCTAAGCACAGCTTAAATGTGGGACAAGGCTGAAAGTATGAGGCACCCAGTGAGGATCTAACTCACTATTCAGTCGTAACTGTTTTAGTAAGACAAACTTGCTAACCATTACACCATACTGAGGTGCCCTTATCTTATAGAGTTGTAAAAAGAGGAAAGAGAACGAGTGAGAGAATCATTGCCTATTTATAGGCTTAAGGCATGTCCCTAGCAACGTTTTTTTTTTTTTTTCAGGAACGTCAGGTGGGATAACCCACAATAACAATTGTTTCAAAAGGTATTTGATATGTCGGCCATATTTGTTCTTTGGGAATCAGCATAAATGTTTAAAATTAGAAGTTTTGTTGACAAGATAAAATTTGTTTATATTTTGATTTTCTTCCTTTTTTTTATAGTTTTCTCTCTTCATTCCTAATGAAAGGCAATATTTTTATTTTCATAGTTTATTAATATATAGAAATATAATAAAGTCAAAACAAACAAATGTATGATAAATTAATTAAGACCTTAAAATATACTACCAGCTATGTCTAGTTAGCACCTTTCACCAACAAATAAGTTTTGAAATGGAAATTAGGAGAAACATGCAATGGCTAAAAATCAAGTTAATTTCCATTTTTTAATATGAAAAATTAAATATTTTAGTAAAACACATATACAATGTTGAGATTTTAATGAATAATATGGTGCAACATTGAAAAACAAATTACATAGGGATGGCTGTACTATAATGTCGTATTATACTCAAGTTGTATTATACACAAGAAAATACAGTACATATAAACTGGGATCAAATGTGGATTAAAATCTGACAGAATGATAAAATAAGTAACAAATAGGAAATAATTATAAATTTAACATGTTTTGCTTTTATTTAAGCTTCATCATAAATTAAAGCATATAAAAACCCTAGTAAGAAAAGAATCTGCTTTACTACAAAGAAAATATTTAGAAGGAATATTGATATCTTACCATCTATAATCACACGCCAGGCACACTTTCTTATATTATTAACTTTCATAAAACCTATACTTAGAATGTCAGATTCATATACCTGTGGTCAATGTATTTTAAGTCTTTCACACCAAATATCCCCTAATCAACACACGTACTGACATTCCTGCAAGATCAATTAGGAAAATGATACAAACATACAGGCACGTCATCATCCTACTACCATCTTCAGGAATTAAACCCATTGACACTATCAGACAGACACAAAAAATATATTTTTCCCATTTCTTCTGATAACATTATTTGAAATATGTTTTGGCTTTAAATAACCCAGAAAGTGTTAAGTCATAAAAAAATAAATCGGTCAATATCAAAACATTTGAATCATCTCAATTCTGCTCTTTTCAAAATCTGTCACTTTATCACAAACCAAATTATCTACTCTTGATTCGGCTATAATTTATGCACATGTCATAGGTTAAGAAATGTATCTCATGATAATCTGCTTAGAGGTATGAAATATAAGTCACCTTACCAATTGGTTACAATTTCTCAAAACTACTGAATATCTATTGTAGACCTTACTGTCTTTCATCATTCATCACTGATGTAATGTATGACTGAATAAACACACCAGTAAGACATCATTTCATTTCTTTGTGTCTTCTAATATTTATTTGGTTTTCTGCATGAAAAAACTATTATCTAGTACTAATTTCTGTAAATATATAACTAAAACATTCTCTCAAATGTATATATATGTCTTTCTTTTTTTTTCTTTTTTTTTTTTCCATGTACATAAGTGTTGCTATATTGGAATGGTAAGATACATTTATCTCCACCAGCCATTTCAATAAACTGACTCCCCAGCTCTTTGCCATTTATCCATTCAACTGTTGTTGTCAGTCCTACTGATAAGGTTGATTTTTTTAAGGCTTTCACCATTTTTGTGATAATAATTTGTTTTCCTATCCAGAGAGCAAGTGGAAAAAGACTTGAACTTTGTTGGATTAGTTGTCATGGAAAATCGTATCAAACCAGAAACCAAACCTACAATTGACCAATTGCATAATGCAGATATTAAGACCGTCATGATAACAGGTATGTTCATCTCTTGGCAAAAAAATTATTTTCTTAACATTAAAGATTCTATATGCATAAATTAAGTAATTAATAATTAAATTTTGTGTGCTGCTAAAATTTTCTGTCTTTTCATCTTCTGAATTAAATATATTTATCTTTTCCTTGTCAAAATCCATTTAACATTTTCAAAACTGTATATATAATCTGTGGTGTGGCTTAGCCAAGGAAAGTTTCATGATGTCATAATGCCATACAAGTTGTGTGATATGGTTTAATTGACATCACATGATTTGATATTGCCTAATTAAATGAATGCAAATAGATATCAACTAAACTAAATCATGTGTAAACAGTGGTAGGAGATTAATGGTGAGAGACTGACACAAGAAAACAATGAAAATCAGATTACCATTGAAGATGGCTATCTCTGTCATTGCAGTCCAAGAAAAGGCATCATCTCTCAGATAGCCTTACATGGTCAAAATAATCAGATGAAAGGTGAAGAAGAAACACTTCTTTTTGTTAACGAAAATTCTAAATAAAGCAAAAACTCAACAGTAAAAACTAAAGATGTTTGATGTTGTTATTTTGGCAGTCTTACCATTAAGTTGATGATTATCATCTTATGAAAAAGTATGATATTGAAGAGAAGCACGGTGAAGTAATGGATAGAGGCTCGGATTGAGGAATCGGAGAGCCAAGTTCGAATTCCAGTCAAATCCATTACATTCACTTATGTGCTAATACAGTTGGGAAAGGTATGAATCCTCTTCTCCCCCCAGCTATGGGTAAATAGCAGGACAGACCAGGTTCTGTAGCCTTGGATGGCAACTGGTCTACTGCAGAAAGAAATGGCAACCTACTGTGGGAAAAAAAATCTGCCTCGTCAGTCATGTATTGAAAGATACATGATCGCCTAAGAGTGTATCATGTGTGGCACATAACTGACTGACTGACAGATGATATTGAAACAGTTGCTATTCTAAGAAGTATTCAGATGTTGTTTTTTGTTTTTGACAATAAGGAAACATCAGTTTTTAATGAATAAGCTTACAATAGATTTTGGAGACATTTTCTTTTTAACAATAAAGAACAATCACTTTAATAGATAAACTCCAAATGTGATACATAGACGAAGGCACAAATATTTGGATGTTTTCTGTTAAAGAATCTGGAAAATTACTGTTTAATGAATATCTTCAAAATGTGTTTTAGAGGCTAAAACACAGTGTTTAAATGTTTTATTTAAGCAATAAAGAAACTTATGTTTTAGCAGATTTATACAAAAAGCTTGAAAGAGATAAGCAGTGGGAAAGGTAATATTCAGGTATATGGACTTTATTAATGAGAACAGGAAATGCCTGTGAGGACAGAGAAGCAAAACTTTAATTTCAAACTGCTGTCTTGTAGCCAAATGCAATCATCGAAAAGGCTTTACAATCAAATCTGGAGCCATAATCCCAAAAGTAGTCCAATGTTGAATTCAGCTTCATTCTGGCATTTCTTGCAATGGCATCAGTTTCAAGTAGTAGTGATCCCTGTTTTCCCTAGACAACATCACTTGCATGAGCAACTACTGATCTTCCATAAAAGAAAAAATTCTGTCTAGGCTTGTGCCTAGGGTAATACACTCCAGCATCACTTAATCTGTGCTCAATTGGTAAAACAGGCACTTTACTATCATCAACTGTTGAATTAAAAAAAAAAGAAGCATTCTAGGCATATATCAATGGTTTCTCTCAAGGCCGATGGATGCCACACAAATCCTCATAAGAAATTTGAAGTCATGGCTGATGAATTTGAATCAAAATGTGTTTTTTGATATTGGCATTTTGTAACCTACATTTATTACAAAGACAGATATTTTCTTTGAATACCAGGTTTAGTAATTGTTAATAGAACTTGGTTTCTTAAATGCAGATTGTAAGAATTTATATACTAAAAATAGGGACATATCAACAATAATGAAATTGGTAGCCATACTGAAGAATAGATAGGCATAATATTTGCAATATTTGAATTGACAATACAAAATAACTGACTATTTTTCAGGTGACAATATGCTGACAGCACTGAGTGTTGCTAGAGAATGTCACATGGTCGACAGTAATGACCAAGTAATCTTGGTTCAGGCTTATCAGTCACCTGAGAATAACAACATGCCAACCTTAGAATTTGTTTATGCTGATGAAAAGGACAGAAAAGTTGAAGAGATTACAACTGGGGTAAGTATATGCAGTAGATATATTCCAGATGAATTTTTATTTTTTTCCTCTCAAAAATTGAATCCTTTGGTTACAGATTCAGTAATATACATCTGTATATTAAGAGAATATACAAATGATAGTTTTCCTATAGGTGTTATATTGCAGTTTTTGCATTTCTGGAATCAAAATTTTATTTATGGGCTTTTCTATCCAAAGTAAATTCATCTTTACTACCAGTGAAAATTTCATGGTTTTCTTATGTTTTGAATCTGGTTAGTCATAATTCTTAACTTAATGATTGAATATATATATATATATATATATATATATATATATATATTCCTGATTATAAAATACCCATGGAAATTCCCCTATCGCATCTTAACTATTTGAGCTTAACTTTAACAAAATAGTGCAATAACAACCATAAATATGAATGCAAAGCATTATTTAAAGAAGTAAGAGGGTACAAATAAAAAGATTGAAAATTAACAATGTTTTCCATTTCACTGAAGCAGAAGTTAAATACATGTGAGCATTATCACTTCTATATCCCATTTTTTCTTTCTTATGCAACTCTATATCTTTTTCTTCCATCTTTCCTTGCAAATTAAAACAGAATAGTCCATTATTTGAGATAATGGATATGTAATGGGAGAAACACAGAGAATTCAGGATATTTATGGGATTTTTCTTCTAAATAAATTTATCTTTACACTATTTACATTATTTGGACTATTGTCCTCATCTTTGTTGCCATATTTATTACACCATTTCGGCTATTGTACATTCTGGCCTTCTTCAGGTGGTTGGAATGTCAAACTGAACCCTTTATTTCGCTTACTGGAGTAGACTGTTCTAGTTCCACGTGCCATGTTTAACGGATGTCAGTTATCAGTTATCTCCTGTTAATTCCCCTCTCCACGTTCTCCACTGCCTTAACCGGGTATTGGAGAACTTGGAGAGGGGAATTAACAGGAGATAACTGATAACTGACATCCATTAAACATGGTATGTGGAACTAGAACAGAATAACTCTATTCACTATCAAAATAAATATTATAAAACATGTCAGTCCTGGAATTGACAGCACACTTTATGTAAATGATTTCCTCATATACTATAGATCCAAAAACATACACACTGCTGAGCAACAGTTGCAACAATGTCTCATTGAAGTAAATAAGTGGATTACAGAAAATGGATTTAGATTCTCAAAAATTAAAACAAAGTGTCAGTTACGTAAAATGCACAATTGATCTCACTCTAATAATAGACGGCACCAAAAATTTTTAGGCATCATTTTTGACTCCAAATTGACTTTTATGCCACACATCAAAGCACTGAGAGCCAAATGCAATAAGAGACTTCAGTTGTTGAGAGTAATGGCCCATATTGTTTTGGGAACAGACAGAATAATCTTACTCAAACTATACCAGACACTGATACAAATTAAATTAGATGACAGTTGTTTCATTTATGGGGCAGCCAGAAAGTCATACTTAAAAAACTCTGGAAACTATCCATCATTAAGGATTAAGATTCATGTTTAGAACATTTAAAACTTCCCCAACAGAAAGCCTGTACACAGAAGCCCGTGAACCCCTCTTAACATTACACAGAGAAAAACTGGCTGTACAATATTATACCAAACTAGCCTTGTGGCCTTCAAATTCTGCCTACAATTGTGTCTTTGAACTACAATACAAAGCACTTTTCATTAAAAAAAAGAAAAAGCTATAAAACCTTTTAACCTCCACATGGAAGAGCTCATTAAAGAAACCCACATTGACACAAAACAAGTACACAAATCTATCATCTCAGAGAGAGCACCATGGTTACTAAAACAACCAAATATTATACTGGACCTTGCTAAATATCTCAAGACAAGAAAAAACCAAATCCTTTTTCTTGAGGAACTCTAAATCATTAAAGACAACTACACTAAATATATGTACACAGATGGATCAAAAGATAGTGACAAAGTGAGATGTGCTGCAATCCTTGGAAAAGCCAAATTAAAGAAATGGCTCCCAGATGGGGCTTACATATACAGTGCAGAAATATCAGCCCTCAATCTGGCTCTTGACATCATAACAACAATCATAAAAAATATATCATATACTCAGATTCCTTCTCAGTACTCACAGCAGTGAAAAACAAAAAATGACCAAACCACTGACTATAAAACCACTTAATGGAATCAACAACCTACCAAAGTTAAAATATATTGCCTTCTGCTGGATACCAGGCCACATTTGTATCCATGGCAATGACAGAGCAGATAAAGCAACAAAAGAATCATTACAACTCAACCAGATTAACATACAAAATGCCATATACAGACGTGAAACAAATCAGAAATAAACATTTTAAAAAAGTGGTAAGAGATTTGGGACTCCTTCCAAAACAACAAATTAAATTCCATAAAATCTACCCTGGGAAAGTGAGAACTGAGACCGGAAAAATCGCCAAAAGAACAGGTCACTATGTTGAGATTGCTTATTGGCCATACAAAAATCATCCACTCTTACATACACAAACAAGAGAATCCAACAGAGTGTATAGCATGTCAAACACAATTCATTGTGAAACACATTCTAATTGGATGTACTGACTTTGCTTTTACCAGATAACTTTTCGTCAAAGAAAATATTATGCAAGAACTGCTTGAGAATGTTGATATAAACAGTATTCTAACCTTTCTGAAAGTAGTGAACCTATACCATATAATATAAAACAACTTTATATATATTTATTTTTTAAAGTTAAAACAACACTATCTACAAAAAAAAACATACAAAATCATCACTCTGGATTTCAAATATACAGACTGAAACAATTTCCAATTTATGTATCAACATGATGTTTCTACAAAGAATTTGTTTTAACCTATCTACCAAAACTTTGCCTATTGTACTTTTTCTGGCATTAAATAACCCGAAAAGGGTTGATTTGCCATAAAACCAATCAATCAATTAATCACTTGGAGAATAAACCAATCAACATATAAAAAACGAATCACATGTTCACCTGAATCTGGTTTTATAGCCAATTTTTAATTCAGGTCATCATTAGTAAGCAGCAAGAAATTTTTCTTTTTACTGTGATTTTTTTTTTTTTTTTTTTTTTTAAAATCATTTCATCCCAAGTAAAGCAATAAAACCATTAAGATGCAAGGGGTTACTGAGTGTGAGAGAATATAAGAAAAAAAACATTAAGAAGAGAGAACAAGACTTAAGAAAACAGAAGATAACGATTGGCATTGTATTTAAATTTTTGAAGATCAAAATTGATTTATAATTTCAAATAGACAGGCTGAGACAATTTAATTTAGGCTATGAGCATTCTAGGACAAAGTATTTCATTACTGAAAATTATTTTTAAAATTAAAAAAAAAAAAATCCATCTACTCCTTTTATTCCAATTACTCCCTCATAGAAATAATCAACTATTAAAAGATTAATTTCAGAGAAACTAGATTTTAGTGATTACTCCCCTTGTCTATAAAATTGCAACCTTTTTTTTTTTTCCTTTTATTCTCCAGACTGGCAGCAATGCAAGTATTCGAATTGATGAAGATAATCAACGAATACATTTTGCAGTTACTGGACGATCATGGACAGTCATCCGTGAACATTTTCCTGATTTATTATCAAAAGTAAGAAATATTTCTTTTTTTTTTATTACAATCACTTAAACTTTCCCAGTAAACTTTATTCCCATGATTCAATTAACCCCTTATCTACAATGGTGAAAAATCCATTCACACACCAATTTGACTGCATATATTTGTCAATCAGGAAAACCAGCATGTCTTCTATATTTCATTGATTTGCAGGTTATAATGTTTCACTTTTGTTTTGTGTTGGTCAATCTGTCTATAAATATTTGATAAAATCAAATTACCTGTTTCAGGACCCCCTCCCACCCAGACTTAAAACCTGCTATAAAATCTCAAAAAATAATTTTAAAAATTCAGCCACACATGATATTTGTACAAAAACTTTGTTCATAATTGTTTTCTTTTGTCAAAATGAATTAAAATAAATGAAGTGAAAATACATAATTTATCTGTACTGCATTTACAGTTTACAAACCAAAGTAAATTACAGGATATAAAGCTGATTTTCAAATTTGTTTATTACATTTATTGTTCAGTACATTACTGTATAAATATTTAGAAGTAAATTACAAAGTACTGGCAGTACTTATTAAGTAATTACAACAAAATCTGTAATTTAGAGAATTTCCAAATGTTGTATTGACAATTGAAGCCTTTTTATTCTTGATGTTATTATAACATATTAAGTGTAATGGTTATCAGCAAGGACAATGGAATTGGCATGTCAAGTTCAAATTCTGACCGAGTCTATTTCATTCATTTTGCACCAATGCTCTTGGAAAAGGTATGAATCCATCTTTCTCTATCTGTGAGTTAAATAACACAACAGACTGGGTTCACCTGCTTTTGAGTGTCAGCCAGTCTAAGAGAAAGAAAACTGAATTCAAACCTGTGTCATGAAGTGTAAAAATGTAAAATTTAATCATGCACACAGTGTTCCTTCTTAAAGAGAATTATCACCATCCTTTGAGAATGTCTAATGTTTAAAACGTCTGAAATAAAACTGATCTCATTGGTACCATTTTTTGGTTATCATTTTCTTAAGAAATTTGGATTTTTCCTTATTTCTTGCAGATTATTCACTTGTGAGAGTCTAAATAATTAGTGTCCCAAAACTTTTCAGTTACAATGTTAAGTAGACAAAGAACAAATTCAATTGTTTAACCTATTCTCACCATAACATCTAATATTATAAAAAGAAAAAGAAAAATCCAGAATTAATTATAAGTTTCTACCTAAAAACCGTTAATGGCCATTATCCCAAAAATAGGACAGTAGACATTCATGGATTGGCAATGTTGAATTTTCATCCCCACAAAAAAAAAAAAAGAAGGACGCTTAATTCCCTTGACACCACTATTACTGTATACACTTTTGACTCCCTCAGCAATGTTTATTTACAAGGTTATAAAAATATGTGAACCAAGTACAATGCAATATTTATTACTTACCTTTTATAAAGATTTGTTATTTACCATTTTATAAAGTAATAAATTTGAAAAATCTTTTATTCAAAAATATATAAAAAAAAGTACAAAATTATCAAAATATGAAAACCAACTACAATGCAATATTTATTATCTACAATTTCATAAATAACTATAAAAACAAGTTTTTTATTCATAATTTTATAAAAATATCAATGACCTATTGTTGTGAATTCTCAAGAATAAATAAAATGTATAAATCCACTTTCATATGTTTGGTTTTTATTAAAATTCTAACATTGCTGATGGAGTTAAATGTATATACAGTAATAGCAGTATCAAGGGAATAATTGTCCTTTTGACAAACCATTATTTTGTGGGTATGAAATTTAAATATTGCCAAATGGTTACTCTAATTTCTCAAAAATAATATGCATTTTTTTTACTGTAAATTACAAGTGATAGTAGGGGTGCGTATTATAAAAAGGTTTAAACAAAGATATTTTTTTCCGTTATTGATTTATAATAATAAATATGTACTTTTTGTTCTAAAATAAGAAAGATGTTATCTCAATTTTCATTTATAATCCAACATTAATAATTGTAACATTTTTTTTTTAGATATTTTTGAATAAAAGATTGTCAATAAATTTATGTTTATCAGTAACCACATTTTTATTTGGAGAAAAAATAAAAAATCTATAAAAAGGCCAATTTTGAAGAAAAGAGGATATCAAGTTAACAATTTATCAAAATTTTAATTTTCATCATCATCATCATCATCATCACTTTCTATTATAGAATCAATATCTAAATTGTCATTAAACAAATTATCATTCACAATATTATCTTCTTCCTGTTCAAAATTATCTTTGGCCTCTTCATTCTCTTGTCAAAGGATGTCAACTTCAGAACCATCCTTGGCTGTCATGAGATAGCACTTCTTGAGACCTCTCTTTATAACATCCTCACTGATGGAATCATACGCTTTGAGGATATTTTGATGGTAAAATAGAATGTTATATTTATCGGGAAAACCGCATGGTAATTTTCAACATTATTTTAGCTGCTTAGTTTCAATTTTATTCCTAATGTCAACGTCGACAAAATATCTTTGTAATTGTTTTTTTTTTTTTTTTTTTTTGACAAAATTTATAGATGCGTATTATACATAGGGATAGACATATTTCTTAATTTTGGATCATTTGTTGGGTTGCGTATTATTTATGGGTGTATATTATTTTTGAGAAATTATGGTAAATAAAATAGTATCCAGCTTTTATTTCACTAAACGTGTGTCATGTTTTTACTTTTCAGTTGGTTGTTCGAGGCAAGGTTTATGCTCGAATGTCTCCTGAACAGAAAGCTCAACTTATTGAAGTGTTACAGTCTTTGGGGTAAGTTTGGAATATTTACTCAGAGAAGTTTAAAAAAGATTGTCATAGCATAGTTGTTTAGTTTCTCTAAAAATTTGACTGTAAACTACAAAGTTTCCAATAATGAAGGATTGGAAAAAAAAAAAACTGCCAAAAATAACGTCCCTTTGGCGAGCCCTTAAAAAGGACTCCAATAACAGTTCAGAGAGAGAGAGAAGAAAGAGGTAGAGAGATAGCAGAAAGAAATTTAGGGAAAAATTAGACTTACTGTTCAAAAAAAAAAAAAAAAAAAAAATAGCTTTAGTATTTTTTTTTAGTTTTTTAAGTAGCAAATTTTTTTTAGATATTTTTGAGTTGCTCTCCTTGGAAGATAAGCAAGATTCCTGTTAAAAATAAATGCAGACTTGTTTTTTCAAACTTTCTCTGCGACACAAATTCAACTTCTAGAGACGACTTAGAAGATTTTTTTCATATTTTTTTCACATCAGAATTTCGTCCACCAATAGGACAAAATAACTCCTCGAAGGAAGGTAGCTTTTCAACCGCTTGACTGACTTTTTTCTCTTCGACCCGATTGTCGAAAGAAGACTTCCTTGAGAATGTTCTATTGTAAATTCTCTTTACAATAATTTTTTAACTGATTTTTTGATAAGTCTTTACTGACTTGTTCTTGGTTGCTGAACAATAATCCACTTGATTACTTGAACAGAATTCTTGTCCTTAGAGAATAAGCTTTTTCCACACACTTTTCTTTTTCTTCAATTCTCTTAGACAAATATTCTTGACTGGTCTTTTATGACTGTTTTCCTTGTCAGAGCAATAACAGGTTATCTTCAAGCAGGTTTCCTTTTCGTCGCAAGACAAGACGACTTATCGTCTCCACACTGCGGCACCCTTTTCTGCTACTACTGACTAGATTCCTCTAATCTAGTCGAAAACAAGCGGGAAAATCACGTACGACCAATCGTTAGACACGATTTTGCCACGTGACACAGCAGCAGCAGTTCTTACACTGCACACAGGGGGAAAAGGAGAGGAGGAAGGAAAGTAAGAGAGATAGAAAGATAGATACAGAAATTAAATTTCTGACACTCTCCCGAATAAAAAGAAAAAACCGTAACAACAACTAATACCAAAGATAGTCAGGATTCCTATCCTTAACTGATTTCAGAGTTCTAACCGGTCTAGACCGAGATTCACTAGTTGTCTCAACAATATCTTCATTCTCTGTTTCACAAATTAAATCACTACCATGTTTCTTCGGTTTTATTTGAAACGAATGGGATATAGACAATTCTATCGGAAATAAATGTTTTATCGAATGCTCTTGAAACGTATCTCCTTTCTTGACTAAGGCAGATCTAACTAAACCATCGAAACCACGAGTAAGTTTCACTACCCTACCCAGATTCCAATACGGTCTAGGCTTAACAAAACTTTTGATTAGAACAACATCATCTACTTTAATTTTGTTATCAAAATCAATTTGATACAAATCATTAGATAATTCTCTTAAACTCAACAAATACTGTTCATACCATAACAGTTTAAACTTATGCAAAAGTGATTCCCTATATTTCAAACTTTCTATCAGATCAGATCTATTAGGGGGACTAATCGAAAAGGGATCTTCTTCGAAATTCAAGAATACTGTTTTTCCAGGAAAAGAACGAATGAATGCACTAGGGGCAATAACTTCCAAACTGGAATCATCTGAACAACGATAAGTCAAATGTCTATCATTGACAGACCTCTGTATATCAGACAACACAGTTAATAGTTGGAAATAGTCCAACCTATTACGTCCGATAACTTTAAATAAACAATTCTTAACCGTTTTGATTAATCTTTCCCACATCGCACCAAACCAGGCAGAACACATAGGTATAGTAAGGTGCTTGATACTACATGTATCGAGATTTCCTCTAAATTCATCAGATAGAAATACCTTTTTCACTAAGTCACATCCAGCGACAAAAGACAAGGCGTTATCAGAATATATGTGAAGGCATACCGAACAGATTAAAGAATCTAAAGAAAGCTAACACAACAGCGTGAGTAGACATATCAGGCAATAGTTCTAGATGTATTGCTCTCACATTAAAGCAAGTAAAAATTAAAATATACATTTTCTTAACTACACTACCATCAACAACCCACAGGTGACCTGTAAACTCAATACATGTATATAAGAAGGGTCTAACAAGATTCACTATTTTTAGGTAGGTGAGTGACCTTAAGGACAACGAATTGTACCTTTTACAAATGACACAACTAGCAAGGACAGTCTTAACTGCCTGTCTAGCCTTAGGTACCCAAAATCCAGTATTACGTAACCTATCAAGTGTGACAGCAATGCCCAAGTGTTTACACTTAACATGACAATCCATGATAAACAAACTCCTAACGTGACAAGTTTTAGGTAGCAGTATAGGATGTAATTGTACTACATCATCAGAAAAATATTCAGAATTATCAATTCGACCACGACAGGGTATTATACCGTTGTCATCCAAAAACAAATTGAACTTATTTACTAACTGAAGAACTTTATTGTCATCTTTGTGTTCTAGGAAATTTTTCTCTTCAAAGAAGAACTGACTCTGAACTATTTTAATCAAATATAATTTAGATTTCATGAGATGATCAACATAATCATTATCTCCTTTTAACTTGGCAATGAACTTAAAAACTAGCGTGAGTGTACCAATTCATTTTTGTAGAGAGGAGAATCTTTCTAATCTTATTATTGCTGAAGAATTAGATTCTATTTCACAGCTAGAGTAAGCAGTCATTAATATTCTACACTTTGCACTAAGACAATCCAAATTATATTCAGACCATATCAAATAATCCCTCTGCAACCAAACAGGACCTTTTTTAACCAAAATAAAAATCCTTTTCCCTTATAAACTTGCTCAAGGAAACACCTATAGTTACAAAATCTGCTGGGTTTTCACCAGTACTCACATACTTAAATCTTATAACATAACCTTTATTACTTAGCTCACTCACCATAGACTTTATATCTTTTTTAGTCGATTTCTTGTGAACTGACATTTGGTGTTAATTGTTTCCGATAACAACCATGACAACACCACCTGTGCGTCTACGGCTATTATAATTTCTTTAAACATTGCAGGAAACATCTTTGTTAGAACAGATACATGTTTAATACCTAGATAAACAGATAATAACTCCAAAGTAGGCAGAGTTCTCTTTACAGATGGAGCAACTCTTGCTTTCGCAAAAAATAACCTAGCATTACCCTGCTGGTACATATATTCTACAACTCCGTACGCTTGATTCGAAGCGTCACAGAACATTATCAAAATAACAGAAGAATCAGTTTGAACCGAACACCTACTAAAACTGATGTCTTCAATGTTCACGAGGTTCTTTTGAAACTTATTCCATAAAGATAAAATATCGCTAGGAATTACCTGGTCCCAGGCGACACCCAACTTCCATACTTGACTTAAAATAATCTTTCCCTTGATAGTTATAGGTAGCACAAGACCCAAGGGATCAAATATAGAGGAGTTGACTGACAACATATCTCTTTTAGTTGAAACCACTTTTTCAACACTACCACTAGTCACTTTAATTTCGTCTAACTTAGGATTATACCAATAACCCAAGACCTTCTCATAGGACACCCCATGAGAGGAGAAATTGTTGTCTAACTGTATACGACTAGACACCAACTCACTATTGCTGCAACAAGTTTTCAACTCGAAGCCGCCCTTTTTCATGGTAGCAACAGCTTCGATATACAATTGTAATAAGTCAGCGGGGGATTGGTGCGTTTTAACCAGATTATCGACATAGAAATTATTTAATAACATGTCTCTACACAGACCAGAGGCATGTTTCTCTACGTGATACCTTACAATATAGCTCAAGATAAAGGGACTTGAAACGAACCCAAAAATTAGTGTGTTGTATCTGAAACACACCAACTTATCTTCCAATTTTAGAAAGAAGCAGAATCTGTTCTTATCAAATTCATTTTTTAACTTGATCATTAGAAACGCTTTCCTAATGTCAGCCAAGAGAATAAAATTGTTCGTCCTGAATTTAAACAAAAGTTCTAACATGTCGGTGTACAAATTTACACCCGAATAGGCACAATCATTAAGAGAGGGCCTCCCACCTGTTCTCAGTGAGCAATTAAACACAGGCCTTATTTTTGTTGTGCACTGCAATTCACTTTTATAGACCGGACGATGTGGTATCCAAGTATACTTGGCAAATTCCGAAGGAGGTACATGTATTCTCTCTATTATACCCTCGTCCTCCTGATCGAGAAATACCTTGCAATAATCAGAGTACAAACCCTTGTCAGATAATTTATTTACCACCTTATCTAAAACAGCCAAGGATACATTATGATTAGATGGCACCTTATTCAGCTTATCTAAATCCCAAGATAAACCAACATAATAACAGTTGTCTCTATATTCTATAGAAGAACGAAACTCATCAATTTTCACCCTGTCATAATCACTACAGGTTTCATCAACTATTCCCAAAGATTCCAGATTAAACATTTGTTCAATACTTCTATCAACTGTAGCTTCATCAAAACTATTCCATGGGTCTAAATATTTCGATTTAGGGTCTAAAACGAAATAAACATGTGTGACATTGCACGAAGAGAATTCTCCGATAACACGATTGTAATTCATATCAGAATGTACCAGCACAGGTTTGAAATTGGCAACGTCTCGAAATAAAATCATTCCTTGGGATGACTCAAATGCAAAACCGTTTCTAAAATTAGTGAGCTGTAGGGGTCCCAAAAACTTTATAACATCTCTATTCCTACTAGACCATGGACTCTGAGTACATCATTTCTCATCTCCGAGAAATCAGCAGCCAACTTCACATTATTCTTCTTTAAATCAGAAATTACATCACCCAGTCCTTCCATCTTAAAGGACAGATCTAAATGTTCATCAATCAAAAAAGAAACAGGCCTTGATTCATCATGAAAATTCACACGGAAACTAACCTCCTTTAAATTTCTCACTTGATTACCTAAGAATGTTTTAATGAGAAACTTGCGACTATTCAAGGGAGAGAACTTGTCAGCATACTTATTCGCAAATTCCTTGCATAAGTAGGATCTCTCACTATCCGTATCCAACAGATAATTAAATGTAACATTTTCACCACCCAGATTTACAGAAATGTTAACTACTGGTAGCAAGGACGCACTGCTGGTCAACCAACATGCGTTCGAAGCAACTACAGGCTTAACAGCTGTAGGGCACATAATACTAAAATGTCCAGGTCTATTGCAAGACCAACATAAGACATTTTTTCCATTAAAAGGACATATATCTTCGATATGAAGGAAACTAGTGCACCTAGCACAAATTTTCAACTCACTACATCTTTTTAACTTGTCCTTGTGAGTAGGATAAGATTTACACACTCGAGCCGAGTGAGCATTGCTTTTACAGAAACAACATTTGTATTTAATCTTGGAAGCTTTTACATGGAAATTCTCCAAAGTGGAGGGTTTTTCTCAGGTAAAGAAGGCTTGAATTTGGACTTTCTTCTAGAAAAATCCACCTTACGATTTCTTAAATCATATCTGCAAAATTCTAAAGTTCTAAAGATATCTGTACTATTATCTAAAATTTGTTCTAACGAAGGATAATTGTTATTCACCTTATGTACTAATTCTGACCTAAACGAGGCAGGCAATTTGCTGAATATGATATGACTTAACAAGCGATTTCCAGGAGTACCATTCTCCAGAAAATTTAGTCCAAATGAGTTTTTTAACTCATACACCTGAGTCTTCACATCAATCAGGAATTTCTTCACAACCGTATTATTACACAGATGGTCCACATTTAACAAGGAAGAGAAAAATCGAGTCTACGATACAGTTCTCGTCCAAAAATTCATTGGAAAGCAGTTCCAATGCTACTCCATAATTTTCATCAGACACTGATAAATGTTTTATTACCTGAAAAGCATAACCAGTGAGATGATTCTTCAGAACTACCAATCTCAGCGAATCGCTATCTAGATTGGAAACACAATTCAAAAAATTCTCTGTTGAAGTTCAAAAGGCTAACTTGTCTGTCTCTAAATCCTTGTCATTAAATTTAGGACATTCTATTTTAGGGGTTAAATCCACACCCTTGTTTCTTCCACTAGTTTTCAAACTAGGATCACTGTCTTTAACCTTATTAGGACTTAACTTAGATAATTTTTCTAATGCTTGTATTCTGAACAACGCACTATCCTTGATAAAGGTTTCGACTGTATCCTCGTCAACACCTTCAGACAAATAAGCATCAACTATCTGCTCTTCCAAAAGAGCCACAGACGCTAGATAATCATTTATCTGACCCTTGTATAAGGAATATTTAGTGTCTTCTATTACCTCTGAGGATTCCAGAGCCTCAAACACCACTAGTATTTTATTTCTTGTATACTTTAACTTTTTCAACAAAATTTCAGCTGCCGGCACAGCCATTTTAATTGGTTCCTCCCCACCTAACCTTTCACTACTCATGACAAAGAGAGGGGGATACAACAGACAATGACGTCACTTATTTCTTGGCACCCAAAACACCCGCCTAATACATGGATCTATACAAGATAAGATGGCGGCTTACAAAAGCCCACCAACTAAACTTTCAACAAGAAACCTTTGCAACACAAAAAAAAGGAAGAGACATAGACCTAAAAAGGGACGGCAGTTACAGTCAAGTGAACATAGAGATTAAGAGTTATTTCAAGCTTGAGCAAAAACGATATCTTTTAATTTCGTCCAATTAAAGAATCGCTCTATAGAACAACCCCAAGCCTGTTGACTGACAGAAATGGCTTCACCCCCAAATCTTAGTAAGATAGGAGCAGAAAACCATTAGGTTAGAATACTACTAGTTCATATAGACACCTAGCAGCGTTCGTAAGTTTTTGGCAGAATGTCGAAATTTAGCTTAGTAACAGCCAAACTCGGCGCAAAAAAGGTTGGGAAACTTTGTCATTACGTCCAATGACGGGAATCCCGCATAACACAGTTAACAGAGACCTGAAACCATCAATATACAACCATAACAAGCGAGATAAAGAAGAAGGAAAAACCACTTGAAATAGCTATAAAATTTATTGAGGGAAAAGAAAAAAAAAAAATAAAATGGGGGGGAAAAAAAATAGTCAGATGTTAAAGTTCACTGGTACAACTTGAAAAAAAAAAAAACCTTCCAAAAACGTCCCTTTGGTGAGCCCTTTAAAAGGACTCCAATAACAGTTCAGAGAGAGAAAAGAGGTAGAGAGATAGCAGAAAGAAATAGGGAAAAATTAGACTTACAGTTCAAAAAAAAAAAAAAAAAAAGCTTTTTATTTTTTTTTTAGCTGGGCAGAAAGGTTTTTAGATATTTTTTGAGTTGCTCTCCTTGGAAGATAAGCAAGCTTCCTGTTAAAAATAAATGCAGACTTGTTTTTTCAAACTTTCTCTGCGACACAAATTCAACTTCTAGAGACGACTTAGAAGATCTTTTTTTCACATACTTTTTTTTCACGTCAGAATTTCGTCCACCAATAGGACAAAATAACTCCTCGAAGGAAGGTAGCTTTTCAACCGCTTTTTTCTCTCTTCTTTTTGTCAAAAGAAGACTTTTGTTCTCTCTTTCGACCCGATTGTCGAAAGATTACTTGAGAATGTTCTATTGTAAATTCTTCTTTACAATAATTCTTTTAACTGATTTTTTGATAAGTCTTTACTGACTTGTTCTTGGTTGCTGAACAATAATCCACTTGATTATTGAACAGAATATTTTTTTTTAAATCTGTAATTTTCACTTCATTCAAAAAAGGATTTGTATCTTTATACTTCAGTCAGGAATAACTTTTAAATGATTTATATTTGGTTTAAGGAAGAAATGTCACAAAGAGCAAATAAAATTCTGATTAAGTATAAGATCATAAGTTAAGGATTGCAGTTTTGTCATTTGCAGAAATCAGTTCTTAAAACTCTGATAAAAGATTTTCAAAGTTTTAATGCTCTTCGGCTATCTTCCTGCTTATGTTGCTTTTGGTCGTTTTAAATATTCACTTAGACTCAGCATCCACCCAACGAACACATCTTTGTATTAGAAAGACGAAGATTTTGAAAATGAGTGAGAAAAACTGACAAAAGTTAGTGAACTTGCTTCTCTAAGGGAGATAACTCAAAAATAAAATGCTAAACAGTTACTTCGCATGTTTCTTAAGTTGGCTATGATATGAACTGATACATATTTTAATTTATGTGTATCTGTAGAAAATTGTAAAAGTATTTTTTTTATTAATCATTAGTCTTTCTTTTATAGCCCATCTTATTCTGATAGTACCATTATCATGAAGGCTTTTATCAGTCATTCTATTTGGCTTTGACTAGATTCCTCTAATTCTAGTCTACAGGAATTGGGATAAAAAAAAAACAACCAAAAGTAAAATAAAAGAAATACTGTTGAAAAATTAATAATAGTGACAGTGCTCCATTTAAGAAATTTGTAGAATAGAAGAAAATATTTTTGTATACAGGGTGGAGGGTATAAAAAATAATGGCCGTTTTTTATTTTATTGGAAAAAAATAAATTACTGTAGTTTTAAGAAAATTTATAACAACAGGATTTGTTATGACTAACACACTATTTAGCATCTTCAAAATCCTCCCATTCATGTTAAAACTATTTATTTCAGAAAATTTATCAGAAATTGCTTGTTTTAATTCTGGAATTGTCTTTGGTTGGAGCATATAAACATGATCTTTCAGTACACATCACAAGAAAAAGTCTGGTGGTGTTAGGTCTGATGATCATGATGGCCATTCAGTTGCTGCACATCATTCTATCCACCTCAGCTCAAAATTAAGATTTGACCATTCCCAAAATACATAAGCCATAGTTAATCTTAATCCATCTTAAACTACTCTAATTTATTTTTTTCAATAAAAGTTAATAAATAAAAAAGGGAGTAAATTTTGCTGCACCCTATTTATAAATCAAGTGTATACTGACATCTGACCTATTTGGAGAAAGCAATGTGAAACCAATCCAATATCTTTTCCAATAAGCTATGACAATTCACAGAAAATAAAGAAAAAGCAAACTATGGAGGGCCATGATTGCCTATATCTTGAAGGGACATGGTATTTAAAAAATTAAATATACTGATATCAACATATATTAGGATAAAATTATATTATTATATTGATTGAGAGAATTGTAATTTTCAAAATGACAAAGACCTTTTGTTTTTTTTGTTTTCATTTGTATAAATGTTTAATTTCTATTCGGCCATTTCAGTTACTATGTTGGCATGTGTGGTGATGGAGCCAATGATTGTGGTGCTCTTAAAATGGCTCACACAGGAATCTCTCTGTCTGAGGCTGAGGCTTCTGTAGCATCTGCTTTTACCTCCAAGGTGTCAACCATTGAATGTGTACCCACAGTTATCAAGTAAGTATTTCAATTTACTATCTAAATAGATAAACAGCAAATTCTGTCTGTCCATCTGTGTGTCTGAAACCCCTCTGAAAATCTGCCCTTCATCTGGTGCTTGAAAATGCAGCATTGGTGTCCGGATATGGAGAGAACAGTTAAAAATTCAAATTTTAACTGAAAAAAATTAGTGACTTTAAAAGTTTTTAATTTATATTGACTTTAAAGTAACACATAAACTTTGTGAATTTAAAATTTTTTGCCTTAAATTCAGTTTAAAATATCTCCAAAACTTGAGGAAATCAATTTTATTTCATCAAAATGCCAATGAATCAGAATTAAAATTAGAAGTTTCATAATGTGAGGTTTTGAAGTTATGCAGAGTTTGTGATTTGAAGAACTCATCCCAATTTTCAGCTGGAATTGGAATTTTGTCCCAAATTGGTTTTATAGCTTGAATCAGAGTTAAAGTGAGATTTTGAAGTTCCAAGGAGTGAATTGAAGAATTCAAAGTTATTTCTTCAAAATTATCATTGCCATTTTCTAAGCTGGACCAGAGGTCCCTTTAGTTTTGGGCCAGAGGGCCAATTAGTTCTTCACATGAGCTAGTTTAAAAGTCTACATGGAGTGTATCTTTTAAGTTAGTATTTTAATAAATTTAAAAAATCTATACTTCATGATGCTGCTGCTGATGATGATGCCAATGCCTTGATGATGGTTTTCATAGCTTCTGATCTTAATTGATTAGAGCTGTTAATATATACATGTTTTGTTTTGGTGAATTAAGTTACAGTAAATATCCCATTCAGTACCACAGATTTGCTTTTCACTTGCCTGACATTAATCAGTTGTGTATAACCCACAGGGCACAGTAGGGGGGTGGGCATCATAACTGATTGTTGAGAGGGTTTAAATCTGAAGGATGGGCAGCTAAAACAATTTTAGAATAACATCTAGATACTTGGGGAAAACTCTCTATCAGTGATTGTCAAAGCAGACTGGGTTACCCAACACGAAGGAATTTTTAATCAGATCTCACCTGCAAGATGATATGCTGCTTTATCAAAATCTGTCTTCTGAGAATGCACATTTGGCTGTGATGCATGTGCCTGATATACTCTTATCAGACTGAATATCATGGTGGGTATGTTGGGCTTTGTATATTTGTACCCAGAATCATTTTGTTGGTGCACTACTCCCTCACTCAATAATAATACTTATTAACAACAGTATATCACAACCATTTTTATTTTTGTTGTTATTATCAATCCAAGTATCATTGAGAAGTGGGCGGGGCGGGGGGGGATCTCTGAAGAAGATAAAATCCTGAAGAAGACCAGAATGCACAACTGCTAAAATATTGTCATGACAATGCAAATGCAGACATTAGTCCAAATGTAAATGATAACTTTTCATCCCAGAAATTTATACAGAAACAATTTCTATGCTTCTGAGTTTTCAAACTGAGAGGTTAAACTAAATTATTTCCTAGATTTTTCAAACTATTGCCTTCAACTTTGTTTTTTAATAAAGTATTTTATATGTGATATGAAATTTGATCAAAATTACAACAGGAGTTGATATTTATAATGATAGAAATATGTATTTAATTCAAAATAGACCTAAATAAATTCTAAACTTTCTAATATAATTTCCTTTTCACAGACAGGGTCGGGCATCTTTGGTAACAACATTTGGAATCTTCAAGTACATGGCTAGCTACAGTCTTATTCAGTCAACATCTGCTCTTGTCCTCTACTGGGTAAGCTATTTACTTTTACTTTCTCACCTACTTCAGGTTAGTAAGGAGATCATTGTTAAAGTAGGAAACTAAATCTTCATCTGAGTCCTCAACATTATAGCCTTTTACCTTTTCTAAGTTATGCTTAATAAATATCTGCCTCTTCTTTTTTATCTCTTAACCCCCTCGTCATCACTGTGTATTTTTCCTTGGCTATTTTCTCTTTATCCTTTTCCTGATCATTTTCCCATCATTATTTTAATCTTTATGAAAACGTTTTCAAATTAAATCATTTTAAGGCTTAATATTTAAAAAATTCTTTCTTCATTCCAGATTTCAGCCAATTTGACAGATTTTGAGTTCCTCTATACGGATTTATTTTTGATTTTAACTCTTGGTATCACATGTGAGTGTTTTATTTTTAATTGATTAATTGATCAACAATATTTTCATTTTCCTTCACAAAATAAATGACTCCTAGAAAAAGGCTTCAGGGCTGTTGAGTAAATGATTGATTGATTTGTTTGTTTTTTATGATTTATCAACCTGTTGTATTCTGCTTTAAATTAGATCTTTCTGATTGATTCCACATCAAACCAGTTGTCCAGATGTGAACACTACAAAAACAAAATTAAAAATTAACAACCACTCTCTGTGCAGGAGCTCTGAGTATCACATTTGCCTTACAAAAACAAATCCCTTACAAATATAGTATACAATTTAAACATTCACAATGAATCATAAAGTGGCTGCAAAAGTATGACAAAAATGCTTAGTCATATATCCATCCTGACTGTTTAAATGGATCCACTGGTGACCCTCACAACAGTAGGTAGGCAGTTACCAAGTTCATCAGTGGTGTTGGGTCAACCAACCTGATATCAAGGACCTACCAACTCCCCCCATCCTCCAGGTCACTTCCCTTGCCTGGAAGGCTGAGAATTTTAAATTTAAATTTTTTTTTGTGGATATTTTTTTTTTTTTTTTTTTTTTTGCTTTTTGGTGGGTATATAATGTAGCTGATTTCATTTAGATTGTTTTGGAAGTTATATAAAGACTCAGACAAGAAAAGAAATTGGCAATCACACAGAGAAGAATAGAGGGTCCATGTTCGGTTGAGGGCCACACACATACTAGCTGAAGGAAAATGGCAAAGTATGGAGTGGAATAAAATAAAATGTTAAATATAAATATGAGAGATTAAGGCTTGTGTTATTTGGTCATCAGCATCTCTATTTCAACATGGCTAAATTTCTCCATTGTAATCTGCATTTTCCCCTTATTTGTTACAGTAGGTAAAGGGCCAAGCAGGTACAAAAATACATCATGGACAAAAAACAAAAGGAAATATATTTAGGTTATATTTTTATTTTAATGTGTTTCCAATTATAAATTTAACACCTTCACCTTGAACATATTTTTTAAGATTTAAGTTTCAACTTTTCTAGTCATGGTTATATTTATAGTGTAGAGGTCTAAAAGCAAAGAAATAATGCAAATTTTATTATTGCTTTTCTTGCACTTGAAATTAAAATTAGATACAATGTGAGAGAAACTTTCATATGATTTCATAGTATTTCATAATAAGCCCATGTAATATATAAAGACATTTTTCAGAATGCACATCTTACCCCTTATTGAATTGTTTACTGATTGTTTTATTTTTTCATCTCATCAAATATCTGCATTCTATATGCATTTCTTCCACAGAAGATAATTTCTTTTTTTGAGGGGAAACAAAAGTGACACCTGAAAATAGAAGTTTAGTTTTAAAAGCATTCATTAGTTTATATCTTTATTCAAAGATAAATACATCTTCCATTAATTTAGACATTAAATATTCTCTTGTAATACATGAAAAATTGATGGGAAAATGTTTAGAACTGAATGAAAAAACTTTAGTAAAGCATGTTAATGTCAAAAATAATTGACAAAATTAAAAAGTAAATGATGAATTATTTACATTGAGTCTTTAATGGTAAAATTTTATTTGTCTTTTTAATATATTTTACGACAGTGAATAAAATTAAATAAATTAAAGAATATTATGAGTTTCTGAATGCTATTTTGAAATATAATTATACTATTTATTTATTTTTAAACTGTTATTTTCCTTTTGTTAGTTGGCCGAACTGATGCCTACCCTGAAATTACAAAAGATGTACCAGATGTCAGCTTGATAAGTGTAACACCAATTCTATCTCTTGTCATACAAATAGCAATCCAAGCTGGTGTACAAATATTCTGCTTTCTTAATGTCTATAAACAAGTTTGGTAAGTAAATTGAAACAAAAACAAAATGCTTAGTTTTGTGAATTGTTCAAAAGTGAATGTCTGTGTCAGCTCAATATTTTATTATAATTAAGTTTGAATTTAAGATTTTTTTCTGGCAGTGTTTAACCTTCATGCCTCAGAAGAACAGTTATTCCCTTGATACCGCTATCATTGTATACACTTTTAACTCCTTCAGCAATGTTTATTGTTTTAAAAAGCAATGATGAAAATTTTAATAAAACCCAAACATATGAAATTGGATTCATACATTTTATTTATTCTTGAGAATTGACAATTACATTAAACATGATTTATTAGATTTGCTTATTTACAAGAATAATTTTATATTTACTAGATTATAAAAATATGTGCACTAATTATATATGAAATATTTATTATCTACCTTTTTATAAAGCAATAAATATTAAAAGAAATTTATTTTTATTCATAAATTTCTGAAAATGTCTGGACAAAAAAAAATGTAAATAAACACATAACAAATCACGGTAATTATAAATTTAGAAACAAATGCATTTTCTGGAAATTTCTTTCATTTGTTAACCACATAAATTCACTAAAATAGATTGAGGGCATCTCTTCCACTGAACCAAATATTCTTTTAATTTATGTTTGTCATGTGTTTATTCAAATTTACTTGTTAAATAATAAATATTGCATTGTAGTTGGTTTACATGTTTTGATAATTTTGTAATATTTTTTTATAAATTTTTGAATAAAAAGATTTCTTTTCAAATTTATTTCTTTTATAAATACAGTGTAACCCGGATATAAGAGAGTTGTCGGGACCGGAGAAGAAGTCTCTTATATCCGGGTTTGATCTATTTTATATACATTAACACAAGCTCTAATTTGGGACCAGAGAAAATCTCTCTTATATCCGGGTTTCTCTTATATCCGGGTCTCTTATATCCGGGTTACACTGTAATAAATAATAAATCTTTTATAAAAGATAAATAATAAATATTACATTGTACTTAGTTCATATATTTTTATAATCTTGTAAATAAACATTACTGAGAATCCAAAAAGTATACATTAATAACAGTGTCAAGGGAATAACTGTCCTTTTGACACGACATTATCATTTTTTTGTGTGTATGAAGGTTAAATATTGACTTCTTTCCATTCTTGTCAACAATTTTCTCAATTATTGGTTGGTGATGATATTTGTAGATTTTATTACAAAATGGTTGGTCTTAAATGATCATGTGTAAAATGACTTGCAGGCCCAGAAACACTCTTCTAGTTGCCAGACTATTGCAGCCATGAGCATGTAACTCTTTGACATTGTCACTGCTTTTATCTTCCAGATGTATTCCAACCATCTGAAGATGCAAATACATATAATAAAAATAGTTTCTATAGGACAGTTTATATTTGTCTATTTTTATTTTGAGGAACAATACTGGATTTTGTCTCTCATGACAGATTAAAAGACAAGTTTTTATAAAGATAAAGAAATCTTTCTTTCTTTTAGTGTTAGCATTTGTTTTACATGTTTATTTTTTCAATTGTAATTAAGTATAACTGGATTTACTAAACTTAATCTAGACAAGGTTATGTAGGAGAAATGAGAAATAGGAAGACTGTACTACACCAGTTTTTCAAGTAGAGATGATAGGGTATAACAGACTTGAAAAAAAAAAAGTTTTACAATTTTAGGACCTCTTTTGAGATATACAGGAACACATTTTTTACCCAAAGAAATTAATCAAACAATTAGAAGAGCTTTATTACTAGATGTTTATTATAACATTGATTTTTTTTTTATTATTAAATTAATTTTCATGTAATAAATAGAGCTGCTATTAACAGACAAAATATGTGTGCATTTTCTGCAGAAATTTAGCCTGAATTTATGCATATTTCAGTTAATGATAATCATCAATTTTTATAATAACTTTCAACATCCAAAACCATTATTGAAACTGGAACTAAAGGAGAGAATTACATCTCTTCAGCCTTATTATTAGGTGCCAAACACACAGGTTGGATGGTGTTTATTTTATTTTATTTATTTACTTTTTTTTAAGGAAATTTTCTGATCTTGAGCCAACATATTAAGGCCACTTTATTTATTAATTTCATGCCTTTTTATCCTTTAAATGATTTTCTGATCCACACTTTTATTAAGACCCCTTTATTTATTACATATTGAAAAAAATTATACCCCCCATTATTAAGACCCACATTGGTATTGTGCATCTAAGAGTACACAATCTACTTTATCAGATTTTGAAATAGAAAAATTCGACAATCATTTTACTTTTAAATGCTAAATCATAATTGTCAGTTTAATTGAAATTTTCAGTTTAAAATCTTTCTCTGATAAATGTCCCAAATTTATTCATAAGATCTGAAAAAATATTGTCAATGTCTGCATTTGGATATTTTAAATAAGTACAGATATAGATCATTGAAACAATGGTGCTTTCATGAAATGGTTGTGTTTTTTTTTCTGATTTCTTTCAGGTTTGAACCTTATGTGATCAATGATGAAGAAGATTATGCCTGTTATGAGAATATGGCAATTTTCCTCTCATCAAGTTATCAATATATCATAATGGCTGTTGTCTTCTCCAAAGGAGCTCCATTCCGGAAATCAATGTTTAGCAACTGTAAGTATTATAAATAAATATATTAAGAAATGTTATATACAGATATTCATTACTTTGAATTAAGTCCCATAAATACTAATTGTACTATTTAGTCTCTAAATATTTACTCATAATCCTGGAATAACCAGATAAGATATTGTAGGACCTTGTTTAAACTTCCACAAATTTATTGAAGAGTGAAGAATGAACAAGAAACTTTTGCAAAATATAACAACATTTCCATATGCAGAAGTTTTACAACAATTTTGTATAGTTAAAATATGTGTATTCTGCCATCAGATTGACTGCAGTCAGAATCATAAGGTCATTGCAAACTCCACAAGCCTTTTGTTAGGTGCATTGTATATACTTTACCAGGGCTACATACAGTTTTGAATTCTGAGTTGTTTTTCTAAACAGGTTTCCAATCCCCCCAGGTATAGGTTAAATTATTATTATTTTTTAAAAATGGCAATTTTTGTAAAAGGAAAAGAATAAAAGTTACCCGAACAGTTCCTTATCTTTTTAAGGAATACTTAAAATCCAATGAGTTGATTTGTTTTGCACAGTAGTGAATGTCTTAAAAAGCAAGATGTACATTTTTTTTTCCTCTGATGTGTATATCTTATAGTAGTATCAGTTTATCTTGTGGGATAAAGGTAGCACCCTGTTTGGTCAAAATTCAGTCCTTTGGTGGTGAAAAGGAAGAGGTCATCTCCAAGACACAAGCCGGGCAATGCGCCAGACTACATGTCCCTACTCCTCTCAGATATACTGACAAGATCCAAAGGAATATGGGGCATTACATTTGGGGTCAAATTAGCTGCAGAAGTTGCCAGAAAAATGTCAGTGTTGACAGCCAATTTGACTTTGAGGCTCCACTCAGGATTTTCTGTTTGAATTTACTTTCATAGCCTTTTCCATGTTTGGATATAACTGAAAGGTAGTGGAAGTTTAAAATCGGGTTTTTCCTTCCTCTAGATGAACTACTTTCCTTGACTATCGAGCTCCATCTACCGAAAGCAGCTGGTTATGAGATGCCAGTTGTCTGCCTTTGCCCATTCTCCAGCAGTTGTCAGAGGTGGAGATGCATGACATGGAAGCATTTTATAGACAGCTGGATCTAGTTCCCACTATCATAACTTTTTTTTATTTTTATATTATGTGTGTGTGTGTATATATATATATATATATATATATATATATATATATATATATATATATATATATATATATATGATAAAAATATAGTTTTAAGGTATGCGATATTTATGAGTTTAAGTGCTCGATATTAGGGATAGCGTGTATGTAAGTATAAAAGTTGACATTGTGGTTAACATCCAGTGGCAAAAGTTTGTTTTATGCTTAAACACAATCGTCAGGCCATCCAATTGCACTTAAGTATGAAACAGACTGTCATCACTAGTTGTTGACCTCAATGTTCCACTTATATATAAGGAAATGGACTAAGTCTGACAACTATTGAAATTTATTGTAAATTAATACAATTATGACACAAGGCCGAAAAGGGGGAATGGGTTGAGGCTGGTCTTCACTATCTATATTATACCTAGGTAATTGGATTCACAACCCATTCACTCACTACAATTTCCTCATTCACCATAAAATATCATCCATCGTCAATCAATGCTCCATACACCATAATACCACATCCTCACAGGAGGTTGGAGCTAAAAAAAAAAAAAAAAAAATCTAACAATTATTTTAATATATTTTCTGTTTATACATTATTTTTATACATACAATTATTTAAGTAAATGCTCTGTTTATAATAAACAGTATTAATTACATTTACTGGCCTGAATGTCCAAGAAATGTAATTAATAAACAGAGCATTTACTTAAATAATTGTATCTATAAAAATAACATATAAACAGAAAATATATTAAAATAATTGTCAGACTTAGTCCATTTCATGATATATTTTGTCATTTGTCTAAGATACACTTTGAGCAGATATGATCATTCAAGAAAAGATCATGGGAAATTTGTTGGTTTAAAAACAGTAATTTGACTTTGTTAACCAGACACTTTCTCTGTAGTTAAATCTTCAAAAATTTAAATGCAATGTCAATCACCATCTTCTTGAATCCTGTTCATCTTTTGTCCTTTCCTCAATCCTCCCTATTTTTTTTTTTTAATCATTTCACCCCAAGCAAGGCAGGAGTGTCACTAGCATGCAAGGGGTTACAGAGAGTGAAAGTAAGAGTAAAGAGGGGGGGTTGAGGAAAGGATAAAGAGGAGGACAGGGATCAAGGCATTGTCAATTGACATTACATTTGAATATTTGAAGATTATAGTTATCAGGGAAGCAAATAAGAAGAAGTGAGTACTACTGTCAGGAAGTGTGAGAGACGTTGTTGGAGTAGAAGAGGTGGTTACAATTTAACTGTTTTGACAGTGAAAGGGTGGGACTGAGATGCCAACACTTAAATTCATGCATTTGAGGCACCAGTGAAAATAGCTTGTCAGATCAGTTGCCTTGAAAATATTTGTAGAAAAGACATAGGGAAGCCACATCATATCTGTGAGAAAGTGGCTGGAATTGAGATGTCAGTTCTGAATCTATCACAATTGCATATCTGTCTTTGGAGTTTGAGTTTGAGTTCATAACTATTAGTCAGGAACTATAACCAGAAAACTGCCAACCCAGTATCCTCAGTATGAAAAGACTTGCCAAAAAAAACTGCACACATCACAAGAGATTCACGACAGCATCACTACAGAGGCCAGAGAAAAGAAAGGATCCGGTCACCCCTTCCTAAACAGGAAACAAGGGATAAGCCTCTACTCCTGTTCAAGGGGAGGGAGAGGAATACTCACCATGTGATAGGAAAACCTATCTACTATTACACACAAAAAAAAACAACAAACAAGAAATCTATGAGAAACATGCATGGCACCCAAAGTTGAAACAGAAATATAAAGTTTCAACTTAGTCTTAGTGCCAACCATTCAAGATGAACACTCCACATCTGTGAGCCAGGAATAAAAAATAATGTCCAATACTTGTATAAGCCAGAAAAAAAAAATCAAAGATCTAATATTCAAACAAAGTTTTCAAAAAGGGGGTAGAATAAATTCACTTCAATTAAAAGAAATTAAAATAAAAAAACAATTAGTACCGAGTAAAGAAAAAAAAAAAGGAAAAAGAAAGAATAGGTAAATAAAATGATTAAAGAATGAAATTCAAAGAGATACATACAAGTAAAACGGGTGATGATATACTTTTTTACATAGCTTTGTAGATGAAAATTAAGCAAGAAGTGACTTTTCTTCTTTTTTTTTTTTCTTTTTTTTTTTGGTGGGGGGACCATATAGTATATCTGAATTCAAATCCCAAGATCAAGGGAGCGGGGGAGTGCTAATATGGCCATGTACCAGCATTTACTTTGCAATGAAGATGAACACTCCACATTTGTGAGCCTAGAATAAAAATAACATCCAATACTTGCATAAGTCAGAAAAAAAAATTCTAGGTTCTAATATTGAACATATAATATCTAATTCTAATATCCTAACATTTTCAAAAAGGAGGTAGAATAAATTCACTTCAATTGAAAAAAAAAAAAAAAGAAAAGAATTATTACTTATTACCAAAAAAAAAAAAAATAGGTAAATAAACTTTTCTCTCACTTACACTCCCTGTAACCCCCTGCATACTAGTGGCATTCCCACCTTGCTTAGGGTGAAATGATTAAATATATATATCAAAAGCCAATATAAGTTTTATGTAGACATATAACTATATCCACAGCAGCATAAAGTCTTAATTTTAGCTTTAGGTCTTATTTATGATGTCAGAATAGTAAAACTAGTTTTTCCATCACTTATTAATGGATCTGCAAGGAATTGTTTTAGATTAAATGGATAAATTTAAAATAACATTGATCATTTTTGATCAATATTAATTTCTATTTTATCAAGATACCAATGGAATAAGGTAATGAGGGTGGTTCGCTACAATGTGCATGACATGCGAGGTCTTAACCATGAAGGTTAGAACTTAGTTCCACCAGTTTTAATCTTCACAGTTAAGATCCACCATACCACCCACATTGTAACAAAAACCCTCATTAACTTTGTATTCTGTTAGTGAGCTGTAAATTCCACTTGAGAAGCTTCTTCCTATGAACTGCTGGTTTGTGGGGTCAACTCTACAGCAGATGCTTCTCCAGTCACTACAACATATCTATCTTGACTACTTCCTTGAGTTATACTCTGAATGAACTCAGTCTTCCACAACTGATATACAATATCCTGGATGAGCAAGTGATCAAAACTTGTAAATCATGTTAAATAAAAATTCTTTTATTTATCTTAACCATGTCTTATCTCCATTTGCTATTTTGTCACTTTTTTTTTGTTAACAGTAAGGCCACTGTTGCAAAAACTTTTTAAAAAAATTGTAATGTGTTGTCTTCTCTAGGGGTGGAAGCACCTGTTAGGGTCCCAGCTATGGGAAATAGTAAACTCCTAAACAAAACACTATGAAAATATAAAAATAAATTTTTTATAGTAAAAATACCAGGAATACATTTTTATATAAAAAAAATTACCAACAATACCTATTTATAGTAGAATTACCAACAATACATTTTATCTGTAGTCGAAGACAGACGATTGCATTCAAAATATTTAGATTTCGGCATTAAATAACCCATAGAGGTTTATATGCCACTAAACAAAATTAATCAACCAAATCTTCTCTATTTAATTATCTGAATTTATGTTTGTCAAATAATTTTTAAAAAAAATAATGTTTTTTCAATTTATTTTTTTTTTTTTTAAGATCTTTTCTTGATAAATGTTGCTGTGTGTGTTGCTGTTACTTTGTTGGTTACTATCTACCCACCACAAGAAGTGGCAGAATTTCTGGAGGTAAGTTCTGCATTAGTTATAATAAAGTTTTCAATTTATTTCAAGTTACATTAAGGCAGGAAAGAAAGGGTGGGTGGGTATTAATAAATTATAATTGTAATACTTATGTCTATTATCTGAGTTTATGAAACATTTTTATTCAAAGATTGTTATCTTCTCTCTGGGTGGATATATTTTCAAACCTTCTAATTAAATTTGATTTAATCTGTGTGAATTTGGAATAAGGGAATTGGCTTCAGATGAGATTTGAACTCATACCCCATGCCATGAAAGACTGTTAGGTTGTACAATAAGACTGTGCAGAAATGTCATCATGAGAATACCATCTGATTTTTGCTATTTTTCTTGATCAAAATGATGTAGGCATTGCTACATAGTATATTAAATAAAACACTTGAAAGCATTTGATGATAATTTCCCACTAAGAACATGGTTCTTTTTTTCATTTATTGTTTGGCAACATTTTTCTTAGCTAATGAATAGCATTCTACCTTTTCAAGAAGCAACCAAGTTTTCCCAGCAAATAGAAAGATGAGTAGCAGAAAATTAGAAAAAATGACCTTCTTGCAAAAACAATCTTTTTATCTGAATATGTAAAGAATTATGAATTTTTCATTAAAAGCCATTCAATTCTAAAGGCTTTCTATACATTGAAAAACATGACACAGCAAAGCTTGGGTGTGAGATATGAGTTCAACTCTTATTGGAAGCTGACTACTTCTATAAACAGGCTAAGATGATTGTTCTTTTTGGGTAGATTTTGTTCCAGTCACCCTTTTGTTAAATATCCAAATGAAATAAGTTGTCCTTGAATGGTGGGATGATATTTCTTAAGTATTTAAAAAAAAGTAATAGTTGGAATAAGGATGTCCCAGGTGAATGTTTCTACCCCCCCCACCACCACCACCAAAAAAATGCAAAAGAAAAGGCTAATCATCTTGACATATGTTTGAAACTCAAAAGTCTTTATTGTAAAATAAAAATGTCATTAAAGTAGACAAATGAAAAGGGAAAAAATTAATCTAAAAAATCTTTAAGTACTTTAACTGGGGAACTTGAACTAAATATATTTTTTTATTTTTTTTATTATGAAAATTCAATAAAATTGTTTATAAGTCACCTTTTAAATATGATAAAATAATTTGTTTTAATAACAAAAATAATTTTATTGAATTCTATTTTGAAAAATTTAGTCAAATTTAAATTATTTTAATTGGTTGCAAATAAAAATATTTTCTAATTTTGTGATCTTTGTTTTTCTTTTCAGTTGAAGCCTTTTCCTTCCTCGTCTTATCGATTGTTGTATGTTGGTATTGCTTCCATGAACTTCTTGTTGTCTCTGTTTGTGGAGGTAAGCAATCTCATCTGTAGTCATTATGTGTATGGGGTATAATGGATAAAAAAAATCATTTGATTTTCAGCTGGAGCTATGTTATCTCCATACTAATGTCCTTAGAATAGGCACATAGCTGAGTCGTTAGAATATTCACTTTCCAACCATGAAATCAGAGTTCAAAACTCACCATGATCAGTTTGTCAGGATGGTGATTTCTTAATGTTATCAGCCTGGGGAGATGACCCCAGCATGTGGCACCTTTGGAAAGTGTCTGAAAACCATACCACAGGTTGACCCAAGACTTGTGAGTGAAATTGGGTAGATGGAACTCTTTGGGGAGCTGTCGATAGTTGTGCTAGCACAAAGTCACAAATCATCGTGACCAAGGGTTTGAGCGTGTTGGCCTTGTTCAGACTGTTGATCATGCTAAATAACACATTCTCTCCCAGAAACTGTAACTAAGGTCTGCTCAGCATAGTTGCAATATAAACCACAGGTTTATATTGCAATCTAGGTTTTGAAGAAACAGAAATGTGCCTGAGTAGACATCTTCAATAGGAATAGGTTAGTTACCCTAGTAGACAAGGATACTCAGATATGACTATGAGATGAAACATTGATAGAAAATAGGGAACAAATTAAAAATTGGGCAAGCCATTTTCCTTTAGTAATAGCAAAAAAGGATTTACTTAGTAGGTATTATGTTCTACTATGAGAAGATATTTGGGCCATTATCATACTTTTTAATGGCATTTTCCAAATGGGAATATTTCCAATTTTTTCTGACTTTAAAATACTTTCAACTTATGGGACAGACTTATTTCAATCACTTGTATTTATTAAAGTAATGTAAATTTATTGAAATTAGGGATTTTTATCATAATTTTATGAAATAGCTGTAGATGAAAGACTTCTGCATAAAATAAACTGAAAAAATTTGGAATATACTCTATAATACAATACACACTTGCTTAAATCCATTTTGATAATACAAAATCATGAATCTGACACTTGATTTGTTACAGTCTAATATCAAATCCACATTGAAGTATATCAACTGCAAAATATGAACATTTCCAGCAAGACTTCTGTGCATTTCCTCTGAAATAAATTATTTACCAAGTTTTGCTCAAGTAGATGAAACAATTACCAATCCTTTCTGCATCGTGGTTCATATTTGAAATAATTTCTCAATTGAAATTCAATGATAATGAAATGTTCAGTCATTTAAATTTTTACTGATGTATTCAATAAAATAGGTCTTAGAAATGTGTTCAGAAGGACACATCAGTGCTATATGGTTGAATGGAAGTTATCTAGTAATCTGGTCATACACACAAGGATTATGTGACTTGATCCATAAACATTTGTTGTAATATATATATATATATATATATATACACACACACACACACACACACACACACACACAACATTAGGGCTTAACAGAATTACATAGTATTTTTTTTTTATTTATAGTCAAGTGAAAGTAAAGCATGCAATCTGGTCACATAATTTATATATATATATATATATATATATATATATATATATATATATATATATATATATATATATGATTAGATTGTTTCAACAATGAAAATAAAATTTGACCAGTAAGCTACAGTGGTCAGTTGCTAGGTCAGCTGGTTCACTGTGTTGTGCTCAACAATTTTTCTTGCCCGAATTTATCTTACATATTTATAAGTCTACCATTCATCTATGCATTGAATTTTGCTTCCATATCTCGTCTAGTGCTTCTGCTATATATTTAGAGATTCTTGACAAAATCCAAAAAAGAATCTGTAATGTTATTGGTCCTGACCTAGCATCTAGGTTTTAGCCACTTTCCCACTACTGTAATGTAGCTTCCTTTGTACCTTTCTAGAAATATTTTCATGGTAATTCTTCTAATGTGCTTTCCTCTTTGCTACCTCAACTTTATGAATTTAAGCACACTACTAGATTGGCAGTTAGGTCTCATTTTTTTACAGTTGAAATGGCTAAGACATAAGTTCTATGCTAACAGTTTCTTTTCTTGTGTTTCTTGCTTTTGAAACTCTCTTCTGGCTTCTTTCTTTCCAATCAACTTTGATCTTCAAATATTTAAATGTAATGTCAATCGTCATCTTGTCTCCTTAATACCTGTTCTTTTATTGTTCTCTCTCCTTAATAATTACTTTTTTCTCAGACAGTAACCTTCTACACCATAGTGGCTTTATAGTCTTGCTTGGGGTGAAATGATTAAAAAAAATAGTTGCAAGAGCTATTAGATTCCATTTGAATATAGCCACCTTTCTGTATAGTCAGAAATGATCAGATGAAATGAGATCATTATTTGATTAAAGAACAAACATCATTCCTATTTATGTTTCTCTATTCTCAATCAAAACAATAAATACCTGAATTGTATTTTGACCCTAACCCTACTACTAAATTAAGATATTCCTGTACTATTTAAATGAAATATTATATCACTTTGGTGTAGTATCAAACTGAAATTCTTACAGTCTATTGTCGACAGTTAGAAAATAAAGTGAGTAAGGCAGTCAGGAGGAAGGAGTGTTCAGATAGTTTCACTTTTTCTCTGTGATCAGATGAGATGTGTTCTTTAAATGAAGAAGAAATTTCATATCTTGTTTGATTCTCTGTCCATTACTATTTCTTTCTTTAGTTCCACCAATTCAGACTTTTACAGTTAGAACATGCCATGCTGCATCCACTGAGTTCAATCACCCTCATTTCCTCTGTATTCTAATCTACTCAGCTTTTACCCAAGAACTACTTTTCGGAACAGACTCCTGTTGTCTGGTTGCTTCCCTGAATATTTCAATCATAACCTCTTCAAATCAAGGGTCAATCGTTATTTATCCTCACTTCCTACTACCTCATTATACATTTATATTACACATCTCATTCAGTAACCCTCTACTTTGAATGGCTCTGGAGCTTTGCATTGAATGAACTTTAGTTAAAAAAAAAAAAAAAAAATCTGAATAAAGCAAAAACTTTTGGTCAGAACAACAAAAGTTGGAGTTGTAATTTTTCACCATTTTCCAACAAAGAAAAAGATCCACAGTTGTTAGATTACTATTTATTACATTCCTCTGATTGTTATTTAAGATTGTAGTATCATAGGATCTATTTAGTACTTGAAAATGCTTCTCTGAAACAATGCTTAATATAATGACAAATAATGTCATTTTAACTTTATATGGCTGTAGAAAAAAGAAAAAGATTGCCATGTGAGATATGAATTTTTAATCAAAACAGCTGGTGATAAACTTATCTCAAAGATTATGTGCAGAATATGGAATAAAAAAAAAGTTCACCTGGTGAAGTTTTGAAAATGTAAATTTTCTGAATATTTTATGATTTATCAGTAGTCATTTCGTTTTTTAAAGATTGGTTTATTTTAAAGAAAAAATAGATTTAATAGTTAAATTAAAAGTGTGGATGAATCATCACAAAATGAGTCCCCATAACTCATCAGGGTCATAGGAGCAGCACATGTACTGCATCCATAGTGGCAGTGGTGTGTCTAGGGCAAGGTAGTCTTGACAGACTCCATCCTTCTTTAGACTGGTTTTGAATTCAGTTTTCTTTCTCATAGACTAGTTGTTATCTCAAGGCTTGAAAAGCCAGTCATCCCTGTTATTTAATCCATACCTGGGGAGAAAAGGGTATTTGCATGAAAGTTACTAAGCATTACAAGTCTAATGAATACACTGTCATTTTCATTCCTTTATGTGAGGAATTGCAGGAAGTGATGAAATATTTTTATTAAAGCTTACCTTATGCTGAAGATTTACAAAAAAATTGTTTATATTTTTAAGAAAAATTTATGATGCATTTTTTTTTAATGACTTTGACTTATGTATTAATAATCCTTTTTTTTTTTTCTTTTTTTAGAAATTCATTATTGATAATATGTATATACGACATAAATGTGAACGTTTCTTGGAGAACCTGATGCCAAGTTCCCGTTGTGAATATGTGGCTATCGAGCAAGAAATAGCAGAACAACCAGACTGGCCACCAATTAGCGAGTCCAAGGCCAGTTTGGCTGAAGTCTTTCGTAAACTGGACCCCCTTCCACCAACACAGAAATCTGGAGAACAGTCATTCAGCTGTGAATCTGATGATGACCCTTCTGATTCTTGCAAGAGTACTCCTCACATTAATCGAGACACTCAACAAAATGAACAAGCTGAACCAACAAGTGTGCAGAAAATAAACCTTAGTGCCATGCAAAATGATAACTACCAATCAACCACTCCTCTGCCCTCACAATCTTCTGTGGCTTGCTCCTCATCATGTTCCTCATCACCAGTCACAGGGGAGTACTTGTCTGCCGCCTATGAGCCAACTACTGTGGTTACTACTGTGGCTGTAAATGACTTGTGTCCAAACCCTGCCACACAAGGTGATGTTGATTTGTCTTCAGTAGAAGTGAACATTACTTCTTCAACCAAACAAGATGGGGAAGAGATAGCCAAAAGCAAAAAAGTAGAAAGCACTCAATTGTAGCATTTGCTAAATTTTAGGACATTTCAAACAATTTGTAGTTGCAAACAAAAAAAAAGGAAGATGTTTTTTTTTTGTTTTTTTTTTAAAATAATTACTAGGATTAATGAGGAGTTAGTTACTGTTATGATTTTTCTGTCATATCTGGACTTAATTTTACTGGCACACAAACTGAATTGGATGGGTCATTTTTTTTTATTTTCTTTCTTTTTCTGTTTTTGGCCTTTCCTATTTTTTTTAAATGAAAAAATGAATGAACTCTAACAAAAATTTTTGTAATGATTTTTTCATATTTTTATATTTTATCTGGATTTTTTTTATTGGTAATGTTTTTCAACAGACAACTTATATATATTTTCAAAAAAACAAGAAACAAAGAATTGCAAAAAAATAATAAAAGAAAAAAATCAAGATAAAAAATATTAAAAAGATAAACTAGAAAATTATATATATATATATATATATATATATATATATATATATATATATTACATAGAATGAAGACACATGAGTAAAGAACAAGACTTCTATGCACTTTATACTAAATTGTATGAGACAGAAAAATAATCATACAAGATATTCCTAAAAATGTATATTTGAAAGGACAGTATTGGTTGTTTGAAAAATTTGGTTCATTTAAACTTTAAAAAAAAAATTTAAGATCATTAAACCATTGTATCATTGGTGTATCTCCAATGCTCTTTTAACAGTAATGGCTGTTCATCATGAGTTTTTCTTTTATATCAACCCTGTAGCAGCCAGGTCATTTTAAAACTTATTGACATGTTACTGCAACATTTATTTTTTATCCAATGCTTACCGGGCCCTTTTAAATCAAATTTTTTTCTCATGATTGAAATATCCAGCTTTATCTACTTTATACCATCAAGTGAATGCTGTTTTCTTCAACACACAACCTATTCTATAATCACAGCTTTTTGTAAGTTAAGATTTTAATCAAACTAGTATTACTAATTTAGCTTGTGGACTGATAAAAATGTAATTTAAAGTTTTCTACAAATACTTTATACTAGAAGGTTTCATTTTCTAGTTTGTTTGTTTTTTTTTGTATTTTTTATTTTAACAGCATTAATACTAATCTTTTAAGGATTATATGAATCTGGAAAAATATACAAATTAGTTTTTGTAATGAATACAGAAAACAGGTTTAAAGATGATTTACAGGGGATAATTTTTACGCTTTTGTTTGGTATGACTTGTAACAGGGTAATCAAAGTGTTAAATGCTTCTTCTGAAAAGAAAAAACAAACAAATTCTGCTATTTAGAATAAGAAAATAATTTGCCTTGAAAATTCTATTTACTGAATTTTTATATTTTTTCTCTGGTAAAAAGTTTATTTAAAAAATACAGATGCTGCCAAAAACTTTTCCCCACCCAAAAAGGACCAACAAAAAAGTTCCAAAAATCCCTTAATAAATTACTCCATGATGTGAAAAGCCCTCATTTACATAAACTTTTAATTTTCAGAAATAAATTCCAGAAAAAATATTTAAAAAGATCAGAGTTTACCAGCAATAAAACAGCAGTGCCAAATTCTGTCAGAAAATACCAAAATTGTATCTTTTGTCAGATAAATTCTTTTAAATGCTGTTGTCATTTCTGTCTGATTATTGTTATCTTCTCTATGCTAAAAATTTGTTTCAGTCTATTCTGAGCAACGTTTATAGAGGTTGAGCATTTGTTACATACTGTCATTTTCACTTTGTGTTAAGTAGCAAATGTTGGCTGGGTGAATGTTACCAGAAATAGCTAATGAAAATACTGTAATCATAGTTCTGGCTAATGTTAAATATTACCATAGCAACTGTGAATCTACACACACACGCACATACACAGTGTAACTGAAAAGTAAGTTTATGCTTTTTGAGTTTTATTGAGTTTTATTTATTTCTCAGTAAAGACTATTATTTCTCTTCACACCACAACTTGAAACAGTAAATCAGTGACGTCAAGGATCTTTGTTGGAAAGTCTTTATCAATATTTGAAATCAGCTATAAGAACATGTGTCATGTTGGGAAACAGTTTGAAAGTAGTAGTTGTGATTATCTTTAACTGTACAATTAATAAAATTTATATAATGTGAAAGACTTATGAATGAATAGATCAGCAAATGATTATTATTGGTCTCTGATATCTGATAATGATGACAGCAGTTGGGTGAATATCTTCCCTCAATATAAATCTCTCTTCAGAAAAAAAAGAAAATTGTTTCACATTGAAACAGGTACTGCAACAACATATATCTGAATGAAAAGAAACATATATGTATATATATATATAAATCAAATGATCAGATATAAACAAGCGTATATGTGTGTACTGGTATGCACACACAGACAAGCAAATAATCATCAAATTAATGCATGGGGTGTAAACATAATAGTGCTTGATGTGGTTAGACAGAGGAAAGATTTATATTAATTAGTACATATACGTATACTTACGTTTTGGTGTGCAACTTAAGTTTCACTGGATTATCAGCTCATCGGGAACAAAGTCTATGTTGTTAAAAGTAAACAAATGTCTTATGGGAAGAACGCTGCTACGTAGCCCAAAAATAAAATTGGACAGTAAATGTGATATAGGTGAGTTACATTTTTTTTAAAAAATACGAAAATGTGGAAAGATTGTAAAAAAGAAAAAGAAAGAAAAAATTAGGATTACAAATTTAAAATATAAAAATTTTTAAATTTTCAATCCTTATTTTTTAAAAATAAAATATCTTAAATTTATAATCATTATTTTTTTTTTTTTTTTTTTAATCTTTCTACATATTTCTATTTTTTAAAAAAATGTAACTCACCTGCATTGCATTTACTACACTTTTTGTTCAATTTTATTTTTGGGCTACGTAGCAGCGTTCTTCCTATAAGACATTTGTTTACTTTTATCAACATTGTGCCTGACTAACTGGTAATCCAGCGAAACTTAAGATGCACACCAAAATGTAGGTACATGTATATGTACTAATTAACATATATATATATATATATATTTCATTGAATACGACAGACAAGTTGCTTTTAGTTTTTTTATACAATTTCTCATGATCTAATAATTTTTTTTCTTTTTGGATGATAAATTATATAAAAACTATCTACACCTTTCTGATCATAGCTCAATTAGATCTCATTTAAATATTCATGGAGACCTACTGGACACTATTTGTAACATACTTGTTGATAACACTAATATAATAGCATCATCTACATGCAAAAAAAAGGCTAAAAATAATGGAAGCCTTATTAATGGAAACAAAAAACCAACACTTAATAATATTAACTATGAACATGGACACATCTTGACCGTGTTTTGAAAAATGAAAACATTTTATAAAACATACATACAACAAACTATTTCTTATTTAACAGTTAAAATATTTAATCCTTGAAAATGGTTTAATGTATAGCCGAAAGCGCTCAGATAAAAAGAACATTCGGACGGTTTTTATATAATTTATCATCCGAAAAGAAAAAAATTATTAGATCACATGAGAAATTGTATAAAAAACTAAATGAAAGCACCTTGTCTGTTGTATTCAATGAAATGTGCATGAAAGAAGAATTGCTGCCTAAATATATATATATATATATATATATATATATATATATAATTCTGTGTACTAAATGACCTGCAGCTGTATGAAAATGTGTATTTATAATGTATATTTGTACAAAGAAAAAAACCTTGTGAAATTCAATCCAGGTAATGCATCATACTCCAATGCCAATATAAAATGAACTCTTTCAATAAATAGTATAAATAATGTCACTAGATCTAAAGAAAAAAAATTTTTGTTAATTAAAATAAAGTTAAAACTTAATTATTTTGTTGCTTTTAATTATGTACAATAATCCTGCTTAATAACAATATGATTTATTTAAGTATGCAAAAATATTAGATATTTTTAATTATTTTTAAACCTTTTTGATTATTTTTGTTTTTCTTGAAAATGCATTTTGCAGATTTGAATTGACCAAATGAACCAAGCATTTTTGATTGAATTCACATTGAAACAATCAAGTTAAGATATACTTTTTTGTATTATTTATACATAAGATGAATGATTTCCTCTCTTTCCCTCTATTTAAAAAAACTTGTTTATTAAATTAGATAATTTAATAAGCAGTTTTTCTTGCCCACCACCCATCACCACCATTCTACATCCAAATAAAGCAAGAGTTCTCAATCCTAGAAAAAACACATTGTAATATAACAAATTTTATAGCAGACTATTTCTTTTTTTTGTTTTTTTCAAGATATCTTATGTATTACACCTTTTGTATTAAATGTAGTGTAAATGCATTCATAGGTGTAATTGCAGTAATAACTGTTGTGAAATTATCAGTAGTTAGATGCAGAAAAATTCAAAACTGTTTTGAGGAGTGAGAACACTTATTTAGTTTATTTAGACATAGAATGTGAAAGAGAAAGAGAGGTCAAGAAAGAAACTATTTCCTTATAAATCGTCTGACAACTTCCAATAGTGTGGGTTGCAGCATCAGGATGATACACGACACTTCAAAGGTAGAAAACAGCTTTTGCATAGCTACTGTGATTAAAATTATTTCCCCTTTTGGGAATATTTGCTAGTTGCCATATATATGCATTCTATTGTCAAAACCCACATCATGTATTTTTAGTTGATCATGTGATTTTGTATTCTTATTTATTGACATGTTTTATTTTCATTTAATCATGTCATTTTACCAAATAAAATATTTTGATCACACTAGGCATGGACCTCTTTGGTCAAACCACATTGATAAATATGCCTCAATATTAGCTAATTTTATTTTTGGCATTTTTGCTATAAGATTTAAGACAAAACAGTCATTTTTATTTTCTGGAAATTTTTTTTTTAGTTAGTAATTTCTTCTTTTTTTTTTCTTGTTTCAAATTGTAGCTCTCCTAAATATTTCTATTTGTTTATTTTTGTTTTTGTTTTTTTTGCTGGGGAAAATAGTTTTCTTATGAAAT